CACACACACACACACACACACACACACACACACACACACACACACACTCCAGCTAAGACATTCAGAAAGCTTCCAAACTCAAAACTAACTCCAATTGTCAGTAAGTTATGGTGTCAAGGAAGTAACAGACATAGGGTAGGCCTAAACCCAAGAAAAGAGCATACAGTTTGTTGTCAATGTTGTTATAAAACATAGTATTTTGGGTGGTAAAAACCCATCACAACTAAAGGATGTTGAAGTCTTTATTCTGAGGACATAAAGATGATGGTTTACCTCATCCAAGAGCTCCAAAAGTCTGTTCCGAATCTGTTCTGGGTTCTCAACATTCGGATCCTTGAGAAGCTGCCTGAACTTCTCAATCACCTGATAGAAAGCATTCTTCCACAGGATCTGATCCACATTCTGATTATCAGAGAACTCGATATCTAATAGAATACAGCGCTCATACAGCTGCAGCAGTTCAGCTCTGGAATAAAATACATGCAGCTTCTAGCTCCAAATACACCACAGGAAAGGCTAGACCCAAGATCTGAGGTTCCTACAAATCAAACACCTTCCTTGGCAGGAAATCCAAAATGCCACCAGGTATAGTACTCACTCTAGTTTCCATTCTGCACAGCAGAATGTCATTCTAAAGACAGTTATGTCTAGGAAAGTAGTTCTTCCCCATATGCCTCCACCTAAATTTAACAGCCAAAGTAAAATCTTCACCACAAGTTACATGTTGTTCATTTCTTGGCACTTTAGAAAGTCTTTCCTTTTCCATATCCAGATTCCATGTTCTCTTAAAAGATTTTTTTCTTCTTAAAAGAAAAAGTGGGAAACATAATCATTTCTAGGACTAGAAACAAAATTTTCTGTTCTGTTTTTTCCAACTCCCCTTCCCTTACAAAAATCAATGTGAAAGGGAGATAACACCTGGCAGCTTACCTAAAAGGTTTCTACCTTCCTCAGCCATGGGGGCCTGCACACCTCCAGCTTATCCCCATTCCCCTCCAGCCAGGACGGAACCCACCATACCTGAGCTGAGCCATCTTCTCCAGGCCCTCGGGACTGATGCGGTCCCTGGAGAGCAGGTTGCTGAGCTGCAGTTCTTGGTTGTCAGCCACCCGGAGAAGCCGATGTAGTTCCTGTTGCTGCATGTTCCTCATGTGTTGCTCCATCTCCTCAGGACTCATGGTGCTGGCAGGGAGGGGGCTACAGACATACTGTCCTGATGGGGTTGGGTAGCCTGGGTAGTAAGGCGCTGGGTACACACCATTTGTAGGGCCCACCGGGTACTGCAGAGGGCTATAGCCTGTGTAAGGATACTGGGAGGCGGGGCCTGGTGTCCGGGGGTAATAATAAGGGTTGTCTGAGTTTTGAAACTTATAGTAAGATGCTTGGGCCTGGCGTGAGTCACCCCAAGAGGTAGGGCTGACTTCATCATCAGTGTCCAAGAAATGTAGCTGCGGTGTCTGGCTCTTCAGAGCAGGTTTCTGATCAGGATTGTTTGGGTCCCACAATCGTCGAGTGGTGCCTCCTCGGCCCCAACTCCGAGATCCCTTACTACCAGATCCAAATAAAAGCCGAGGTCCCGAAGGCGTAGACTCTGGAGAACCGGCTGAACTGACAGACAGGGTGGTATGGGCAGGCAGAATCAGAATGCCACGGCCACGACCCCGAAGTTCTCGTCTCAGGTTTTTGGACTCCTGCTTCTCAGAGCCTTTGCCCACACTGCTCGAGCCTTTGTCTGACTTTAACCTATCCGAATCCTCCCTGGCTGACCTCACCATGGGGGAATCTTTGTTCATGGTTTCTGCATCGAAAGTAACGTGAAGAGTGCCTCGATTTTCTTTACCATTGCTTTTCTGCTCTCCCTCCCCACAGCCAGACCAGCTTCTTTCTAAATGTTTCTTCCTTTCTGAGCTCCTCTGTGGCCCATCAGACTCATCAATTCTGTCCTCATCCAAGGAGTCAGTTGAGGACATAGATACTTGTTTCTTCAGTCGTGGCCTCTCCTTGGTCCGATCTTGGCGGCGGCGGCGACTTCCATTATCAGTCAGGCCAGTCCCCTCGGCGCTGTTGTTGCTACCCGCTGAGCTGGTACTGCAAGTGCGGTAGCGGTTCCTTCGTTTGTCTGAGCGGGAGTAGCGCTTCACAGAACCTGGCTTCCCCTGAGCTGGGTCATCATTCACCTTCTTCACGCCCTCCCCTTTTTCAACCCTCTTTCCTTTTTCCCCCTTCGCAGCCCTTATTGTGTCACCACTTAGGCTCTTTTCTGCCTCCTCTTTGTCTGGCTTGTTCACAACCTCCTCTTTCACATTTCCCCTACATGCATCTTCCTCTACTCTCAGTTGTTCTACCTGGTTGACGATTTCTTCCTCATCCACCCTGCTGGTCGATTCTTTGGTAACAGTCTGCAAACGCCTTCCAGGCTGATAGATCTGCATGTCAGGTTTCTTTGTTCTCTTGATAATTCTTAGACTTCGATCCTCTTGTCCAACAGTCCTAGGAAAAGACTCCTGTGCCCGAGTATTTTCTGGGTCTGCAGGACCATTTTGCTGTGGGCTGTCTTTGCAGACATCTTTAATGAGCTGTGTACCACTTCCAACAGCAGAAGAATCTCTGTCATTAACAATTTCATCCTTAAATTCGTGACCTCCAGAGGGTTCCTTGATTTTAGGTCTGTTCCTTAGTCGGGAAAGACCAGGCTTATAGATTTCAAGATCTGGGCGCCTGTTATCTTTGCGCTGCCTGGGCTCCTTCATGTTTTCTGTGATGTTGGAGAGAGTGTTGGGGAGGAAGAGGTAGAAGAATAAAGGGGAAGGAAAGGAAAAGGAATTGTCATTAAAAGTCAAGCAAGAGGGACTTCCCTGGTGGTCCTGTGGTTAGGTATCCACCTGCCAGTGCAGGGGACATGGGTTCGATCCCTGGTCAGGGAACTAAGATTCCACGTGCCACGGGGCAACTAGGCCCGCGCGCCACAACTAATGAGCCTGCGTACCACAACTAGAGAGAAGCCCGCGCCGCACTGCAACAAAGAGCCCACATGCTGCAACGAGACCCCACATGCCACAACTGAGACCCGATGCAGCCAACAAATAAACAAACATTAAAAAAAAAAAAGTCAAGCAAGAATTACACATTGATATGTTAATACTGGTGGACAAGGAAGGAAATTTCTGCAGAAACAGAAATTCTACTAGGTTTACAATATTTGTTCAGCAACTGGCAAAACTAAGAACTTAACTGTGTTGGAGCTACCTACACCTGAGTTGGGGAAACAAGGAATAAAACCTACATTCTCTTGTTACCCAAATCATATTCGGATCCACAATACCCCAAACTACCTAATCATTGATAGAATAAAAGATCTCTAACCAGTTCTGCATTGGACTATTCTCTGCTATAGAGCTCTCAGCTCCATCCTGGTCTCTTCTTCTGCCTCTAACATTTTTCCAGTGTGGCTGAGTCCTTTTAACATACTAAGGGGTCGGGGGCAGTGGGCGGGGGGCAGAGAAGAAGAGGAGTATGCATAACAATCCACAGTTCTGGACATCTCTGGAGAAAAAATTTGCAACTCCAGTCACTGAACTTGGCCAGGACAATCCTCTTCTTTAGGATTTCAACCACCCAATCACATACCTCCTGTTGAAGCAAACAGGAAGCAGTTCCTTTCACATTCTTCAACTCCACTCATGCTCACCAACTCTCTAACAGCAGCCAGCAGGGTCCTTCCAAGGAAATACTGCTCATACTGTCATCATTAGAATACTGAGACTAACTGCTACTATGATGATGTTATATGAGAAGAAAAAAGTTCCATAAAGGCGCTTTCCCTGGAGGATGATGGAAGTATTGTGACACGCTCTCAAAATACCAACGACTGGGGCACTCAAGAATAAGAGAACAGGACTTTAGAAACCACTCTCCAGGCTCCAGGAACTTACAGAATGACAGATAAGCAAGCATCAATTTTTTTACCTGTTACGTTTATCTGTTAAGGGGAGAGTCTACTGTAAATAGCCACTGAACTGTTCAGTAGGGAAGAAACAGGAATTAGTGAGATTACAGAGTACACTCAAAATGGAATGTTATAGAAAATCCTACTACTGTTCTATAAACACAAATGTAAACAAGCTCATAACAGGGATCACACGCTCCAGCATTTACACCCATGGGTGTAAGGAAATTGGAAAAAATACAAAACCCCACAGGGCTTCCCTGGTGGCGCAGTGGTTGAGAGTCCACCTGCCGATGCAGGGGACACGGGTTCGTGCCCCGGTCCGGGAGGATCCCACATGCCGTGGAGCGGCTGGGCCCGTGAGCCGTGGCCGCTGAGCCTGCGTGCCGGAGCCTGTGCTCCGCGACGGGAGAGGCCACAGCAGTGAGAGGCCCGCGTACCGCCAAAAAATAAACAACCCACAAAACTCTTAAGTTTAAGATACTGCTTCAGTATTTTCTGAAGTCTAAAAGACTGCTTCATCCACTACGAACAAAGGGAAAGCAGTTAACTCCAGAACAGCTCACCCTCAGCAGCCTGTGCAAGCTGGGGGGTGGGGTGGGAAGAACCACTACCACTTTCCAGAGAGGAGGGAGCAAACAACCTGAATAATCCAGTGCACATGACCCATGAAAACCAATTTCAGACTTCTGCCACAAGCCTGCAGGACTATAACTACCATTCTACACGACTCCACTGCCTAACCAAAGAGAGGTGAGACACTAGAATCTTCCTTGGTGCTTTCCTGGTGTGGCTGGACACTTTAACTTGCAAGTTGAACATTCTCCCTGATAAAAACTGCTCCCACACATGCCAAAGCCAAACCAGAGTAGAGTCAGCTCTCTGAGGTCCTGGATCCCTCCGGTGGCGCAGCCTTCAGAAGCCTGCCTTGGGGGGAAAAAGTTCAGCAACGAAGTCCCAAGCTGTTGAACCTTCCTCCTCGATGTTCCCAGCTCCTTCCAACGCTAAAGAAACGACGGGGCAGGCCTGCGAATGACTCCTCGGGGAACCATACACCCCGGGGCCCTCCACCAGACCCCGGAGCCCACTCCTTTCCGCGTCCCCTGACGGCTGGGAACCCTGTGAGAGGGCTGGGGCAATGGGGAGCAGTCACCTTCGCCGTGAGAAAGGGGGCGGAGGAAGGAACCCGGGTTGCGCTCTCCCGGAGGGACCGTAGCCGGCAGATCCCGACCCCACACCGGCTCTCTGGCTGGTAGAGCGGGGAGGGACCGCCCTCGGCCCCCGCCCCCACTGTTGGGGGAAGGGGCGGGGGCTCTGGAGCACCGCGAACTAAGCGGGGAGGAGGCAGAGGAGGAGAGGGAGGCGGGGCGGGCAGGCCCAGCCCAGGAGCTGGGCGGCGCGACTCACCTCTGCTCCCGGCCTGCGGAGCCAGAGTGGCCAGGATCCCTCGCAGCTCCGACGCGGAGATCCGGACACGCTCCAACCCCTCCGCCATCTTCGCGGCTGCTGCTGCAGCTGCAGCTACTCCACCAGCGCCGCGCGCAGCCAGGAAACCACGACGGACGGGCGGCGCGCGCGCTCACCCACCTCCCACCCTTTTCCCCGCCCCCTCCTGCCCCCCCTCCCCAAACGACGGTGGCCGCACTGGGAGGAAAAGCGCCGAACGCACGTTCAGTCGGGAAGAGGCGGGCCGCGAGACTGGGTGGGGCAGGCGGGCACCGCGCGTGCGCAGAGGTGTGGCCGGGAAGGTGCGCTGAGGCTGGAGTTGGAGGCGCGGCGCCTGGGAGGTGAGGTGAGGTCTGGCCCGGCCGAGCCAGGCCAGGCAAGGTGGGCGTTTGCTGCGGTGGCTGCTCTTGCTGCCGTGGTGGCCTTCGAGGACACCGGTACCAGCCTGGGGCTCGGGTTGACGGGGGCCTCCACCGTCCGGCCCTTTCCAGTCATCTTAGGCCAGGGTCTCCCGCCACAGGCCCGGACTACTGCCCCAGGCTTTTACTTTGCGACCTTCAAGATCTTGTAGGATAGTTAGTATTATGCCCCTTTTTTTTCTTTCTTTCTTTCTTTTTTTTTTTAAATGAGGAAACTGAATCCCAGAGAATCGTAGCAAATTGCCCAGGGTGACACAATCGATAATTACCAGAGACTCAAAAGTCTTTTCCTTTATGGCAATCTACATCCCAAACTTCGTGGCTTTTTTTTTTTAAATACAGTATAGATGGCTCTTGCTGAGGGAAGGGTTTGTGTGGAAATAAGTCAGGAGGTGTTATGAGTCGATTTGGGAATTTCTGTATCACTGTGGATTCTGGGGAAAATTACTTGACTTTCCTGGATCTCAGGTTGATTTTTTTTTTTTTTTTTCATTTTTAAAATGTAACTGGATCTGAAGACTGGTACTTTATCTGTTTGTTCATGAGCCCCGTGTTCAGAACTGTGATGGAACTCCCTCCTCTTGCAAGGTTGCTTCCCTCCACCTCTTGAGCTCCTTCCCAGTCCCACACAACCTATTGGACCTCTACACCATCAAAGTTACCGATTATTCCTTAGACTGGGCTTAAAAGATTTAAACAATCTCTGACAACTCATTCAATTCCTATTAGGTGGCAGACGCTTCGCCTCCACGAAGTTCTCAACAGATGGAGAAAGTCAGTAGATAGCAAAAGAAGGGGAGTGATTGGAGTGGTCAGAGCAAATGGCAATCTTTAAAACAGATATGAAAGAAATAAGAAAAAAATGTTTGAAACTAATTTGTTTTCATAGTGAAATTGATGAGGACATTGCAACAGTTTTTTTTTTAATGGAAAAATAATCTGAAGAAAACTTTCTTAGGAAAAACACCATTGCCAAATTAATACAGCAGTATCAGTGAGCTGCAGATGAGATATGCCAAAAGTTAAACCAGCTCAAAAAATTTTATGAGAACTCAGAGGGAAAATATAATAGAAACTATTGAGAGGTAAAGGTACGAGATATGGAGAATGGATCCAGAAAACTAATAATCAAATATGAGTCCAGACGGTGATAACAGAACTGACTGAGGAGGAGCAATAATCAAATATATAATAGAAGAAAATTTACTCAGTTGATGGAAAATTTGGATTTAAGACTTAAATTCAACCCTCAGATTTAAAAGGTTCATGAAATGCCAGGTAGAAATAAGTGAAAAGACAACCATATTTAGACCTGTATCACAATGAAAGCTGAGTTTAAAGAATTAAAATATATGCTGATATAGTCAAGATACATTGTTAATTTTTTAAGCCAATTGCAGAACAAGATATAGAGTATGGTTCTGTCTGAGTGCAGCAAAACCATTTATTGCATATGTAAATTTCTATATAAATACATCAAAAAAGATGTGGAAGAATACATACCGAACTTTTTAAAATGGTTATCTTGGGAATTCCCTGGCAGTCCAGTGGTTAGGACTGCAAGCTCTCACTGCCAAGGGCCCGGGTTCGATCCCTGGTTGGGGAACTAAGATCCCACAAGCTGCACAGCGCGCACAAATAAATAAATAAATAAGTAAAAAGAATGAAAATTAATAAGCTACGTATTCAATAAGGGTAGAAAAAGAAAATAAAAATAGAAGGAAGAAATAAAGATAAAATCAGAAATAATAAAGGAAAAAGAACAGCACTTGATAAATTGAAGCACTCATTCTTCAGAAATAGACATTAAAATAGACACATTTCTGGCAAAAAATTTTGAGAATTCAAGATATCCTACCAAATGCTTCATAGGTAATGCAAACTTAGCTCATCAAATCTCTGATTTTCCCCTAAAATATTTGTTTCTTTGCCAGCCTTATATCTCAGTAAATTATAACACCATCGAAGTCAAAACCCAAGAGTTATCCTTGACACCTCCGTCTCTCTCAGTCCCCACATTCAATCCAATATCAGGATATGTCTCTTCTATATCTGTAGTGGTGACATATGGAGTTCATCACCTCAACATTTTCACCTTCCTTTTCTCTTGAAAACTGTCCCTTACTCTCACTCAGAAGTACTTTCTCTTTTCCTTTTTCTGTCTATTTCCTTTTTTCCTTTCTTTCCTCTTTTACTCCCTTCATTTGCTCCTATTTTTCCCTCAGGTGCAGAGATTTGAGGCAGTCCTGCTGTTCAGTTCACATTATCATCGACAAGGCCTTTCTCATTTTATCTTTTTTTCCTTCATTCCAATTCCCAGTCATGTTCCTTCCCTCTTCCTTCAGTAGCCACTCTAATGTGTTTGATATATGTCCTTGGATATACATGTATCTTTGAATAATATATAGTATTGTTTTATATATGTATGTGTTTTAAATGTACATATTTGATATTGTGTTATAGAAATCATTGTTTCATGTTTCTGTAAATACTTCTATTGCATAGTATTGTCTTAAATGACCTCACACCCTTGGCCACTGGTCCTGGGCCTAGATGGGCCAATCAGAGTCCCTACCCAGAATTTTTTTTAACTGAAACTAAGAAAAAAAGAAAATCCCTCTCCAGTTTGGAAGCCGTAAAATGTAAAACACAGGAGCTGTCAGCAGCCATGTGTCCTGCCATGCGGAACCAGCTGGTCTGCAGTGAAAAGAATGAAGCCGACATGCAGAAAGCAGCAGAGGTGAGAAACAATGAGAAAGTCCTGGAAAATCTCAAAGTCCCTAGTTCCAGTTGTTTCTGATGTGCCATGTTCCTGCCCTTCCCATGGTTCAACTCTTCCTTGGATTCCATGAGCCAGTAAATTCTCATCACCTCCCTCTTGTGCCTAAGCCAGTTAAAATTGGGGTTCTATCACTCGTAACCAAGAGGTCTAACTAATTATAATCTCCAAAATGTATGTGCGTGTGTGCTTTTTAATTGTGGTAAATACACGTAACATGAAATATACCATCATGATCATTTTTAAGTGTACAGTTCAGTAGTGTTAAGTACATTCACATTGTTGTACAACCAATCTCCAGAACTCTTTTCATCTTGCAAAACTGAAACTGTACCCATTGAACAACAGCTTCCCATTGCCCCCTCCTCCCCACAGCCTCTTACAGTCACCGTTCTACTTTCTATGGATTTGACTACTCTAGGTACCTCACATAAGTGTAACCATATGGTATTCGTCTTTTTGTGACTGGCTTATTTCAATTGGCGTAATATCCCCAGGATTCATCCATGTTATAGCACATGTCAGAATTTCCTTTTTTGAGGCTAAGTAATATTTCATTGTATGTATATATCCCATTTTGTTTATCCATTTATCTGTCGCTGGATACGTGGGTTGCTTCCACCTTTTGGCTATTGCAAATAATGCTGCTATGAACATAGGTGTACAAATATGTCTTTGAGACCTTCATTGAATTCTTTTGGGTATATAACCAGAAGTGGAATTGCTGGATCATATGGTAATACTGTTTCATTTTTTGAGGAACTACCACACTGTTTTCCACAGCAACTGCACCATTTTACATTTCTACCAACAGTGCACGAGGACTCCAGTTTTTCTACATCCTGCCAACACCTGTTATTTTCCTAGTTTGGGGGTTTTTTAAATAGTAGCCATCCTAATAGGCATATGGTGGTATCTCACTGTGGTTTTGATTTGCATTTCTCTAATGATTAGAGATGTTGAGCATCTTTTCATGTGCTTGTTGGCCCTTTGTATATCTTTTTTGGAGAAATGTCTAGTCAAGTCCTTCGCCCATTTTTTGATGGGTTTGTTTTTCCAAAATGTATCTTGAATGATTATTTTTTTCTACCTCCACTTTCACCATCCAAGCCCCCCTGTTGTTTTTCGTGTGGACAGCTGTAATACTTCATAACTGGATACCTTGATTCCACTCTTCTCTCTTTCCTTTTCATTCATTGCAATGTAGCAAGTGATTTTCTGTAAATATGGATTCTAACATGTCACCTGCTCAGAATTCTCCAATGGCATTTTTAAAAAAACTTTTATTGGAGTATAGTTGATTTACAATGTTGTGTTAGTTTCCACTGTACAGCAAAGTGAACTCTCTTTTAGATTCTTTCCCATATAGGTCATTACAGAGTATTGAGTAGCATTCTCTGCTATACAGTAGGTCCTTATTAGTTATCTATTTTATATATAGTGGTGTGTATATGTCAGTCCCAATCTCCCAATTTATCCCTCCCCGCCCCCTCCCCTGGTAACAAGTCCAATGGCATTTTATTGCTCTTAAAAAAAAAATCCATGGACTTCCCTGGTGGTCCATTGGTTAAGATTCCATGCTTCCACTGCCGGGGGCGGCGTGGGTTCAATCCCTGGTCTGGGAAGTTCTGCATGCTGTGAGGTGTGGCCAAAAAAAAATTCCATGAGTCATGGTCTCTTATGATCTAGACTCTGCCAACTTCACTCTCCTTATCTCTTATCACATTTCCCATTGATCACATTTTCAGATACATTGACCTTTTAATTCCTGGAAAATGCCAATCTCTTTCCCTCCTTAAAGCATTCATATAATATTCCCTCTACCTGAAACACTTTCCCCACTACTCTGCCCATTCATCTTTTAGGTCATAATTTAATTTTACTTCTCAAGAAAAAAAAAACTAATTATTCACAAAATAATAAAAATTCAGTTCTACATAGAGGGTCTTCATTGACCTCCTTCACTGATCTAAATAAGGCCTCCCACTATAGTATCCTATCATAATACACTTCCCTAAGTTAACATATCAATGTTTGTAAATACATATTTAATTGAATTATTTGTTAGACACCTCTCCAATACATTGTAATCTTTGAGAGGAGGAACAAGTCTACTTCTCTAGTACTATATCCCCAGATCAAACAGTATCTGACACAGAAGGTGCTCAAATTTGTTGAATGAATGAATACCACGGATATGAAAAATACTTAGAAATATTAATATGTACAGCTTTATACTAATAAATTTTAAATTAAGTGATTTTACAAAAAAAATTACTGAAATTAATTCAGGAGGAGATGGCAAATCCATATAAACCAGTAACTATGAAGTCATTGAAAAAGTTACTAGAGGTACATTTTTAAGGTAAAGACAAATTATCTTTATTTGCAGATAGCATGATTGTTTAGAGAATAAACTGTAAAACTATTAGATCTAACAAGATAATCTGGTAAAGTATCCTATTACATGATAAATATACAAAAATTATTAGCTTTCATATACATCATCAGTAAGCAGTTTAAAAATCTAATTTTAAAAATGCCTTATCTTGGGGCTTCCCTGGTGGCTCAGTGGTTGAGAGTCCACCTGCCAATGCAGGGGACACGGGTTCGTGCCCTGGTCTGGGAAGATCCCACATGCCGCGGAGTGGCTAGGCCAGGCCCGTGAGCCATGGCCGCTGAGCCTGCGCGTCCGGAGCCTGTGCTCTGCAACGGGAGAGGCCGCAACAGTGAGAGGCCTGCGTACCGCCAAAAAAAAAGAAGAGAAGCCACAGCAATGAGAAGCTCAGGCACCGCAACGAAGGGTAGCCCCTGCTCGCCGCCAACTGGAGAAAGCCTGAGTGCAGCAACGAAGATCCAACGCAGCCATAAATAAATTTATATATATAACAAAAAGAATGGATAAACAACAAGGTCCTAAAGCACAGAGAACTATGCTAAATATCCTGTGATAAACCATAATGGAAAAGAATATGAAAAAGAAGGTATGTATATGTATAACTGAATCGCTTTGCTGTACAGCAGAAATTAACACAACATTGTAAATCAACCTTACTTCAATAAAAAAAAAGTTCAGTCACTAGTAATTAAAGAAATGTAAACTACTAGACATACTTCATTAAATTGACAGATAAAAATGATACAGTAAGGGTGAAGGAAAATAGTCATTCCTTAGAAAGTGCTGTTGGAGTATAAATTGATATGATCTATAACTCTTCTGGAGATCAGTTTGGCAGTGGTATCAAAAGCCTTAGAAGTATGTATGCCTTTTAATGTAAAATACCACTGGTGGAATCTACTCAAAGCATGTATAGAGATAAACAGAGATCTTGCAACAAGGCTGTTCATTACATCATTATTTATCATAGCCAAAAAAAAAAAAAAAAGGAAATCTAAATGTTCAACAACAGAGTTATCTAAAACTACGGTATTTTTGTAAAAAGAAGTACTAGTAAGTCATTTCACTAGAAATCACATAGTGATTTCCCTGGCAGTCCAATGGTTAAGACTTCGCCTTCCAATGCTGGGGATGCGGGTTCAATCCCTGGTCGGGGAGCTAAGATACCACATGCCTCGTGGCCAAAAAAAACAAAACATAAAAAACAGAAGCAATATTATAACAAATTCAATAAAGACTTTAAAAAATGTTCCACATCAAATAAAATAAAAATAAAAAGTCACATAAATATATCTACTGATAAGCAAAGATTCATAGATATATTGTCTGAAAAAAGCAAGTTAACAAACCTGTCAAAAAAGTTTTGTCTGCATATGTATGTGGGTCTGGAAAGAGAGACAACAGAGCTTCGGTAGCAATTGTCTTTGGAGAGGAAAGCAGATTAAATTGTTTTTCTATTGAACATACATTACCTTTGTTAATAAGGAAAGAGAAACTTCATGTTTAAACACTACAGTAAAAATAGTAAAAAGTGGAAGCATAATACAGTTACTGAAAATTATAGTTATGAAAACTTTGAGGAATGAGCCAAATGGAAAAGGAGTAAAAATGTTATTTATGCTTTGATTTTAACTGTCATATATGTATATTGAAAAAACAGAAGGAAACATAGTGAACATAATTTATTAAGATGGTAGGATTGTAGGCAATTTTTCCCCTTGGTAAATTGTGAAATATTTTTTTTAAATAAAAATTTGTAGCAGATTTTGAACCCAGTTTATTCAAGCTTCACAATCATGAAAATGTAGAGACCAGTGGCAGTGCCAAGAGATGGATGGTAGGGGCAAGGACTGAGCTTTAAGCCTTCAATAATCATCACCAGTTATCTCCTGTGAGGTTTCAACAAAGCAAACTTATACACCAAGAAACTCAGCTTCAAGAGAAGTTCCCTTATGCAGAGATTCTGGACCCCAGTAATGGAGACAGTCCCCACATTAACACCACAGACCCTGAGTCTATTTTCCTATGTTATGCATTTTCTTTTTTTATTTTCTTAAGATTTTTGTTTGGTTGTTTTTTGGGTTTTTTGTTTGTTTTAGTTTAAGGTTCACAGCAAAATTGATGGGAACAGAAATTTGCCATATACTCCCGGCCCCCACACATGTATAGCCTCCCCCATTATCAGCATCCCCCACCAGAGTGGTATATTTGTTACAGCTGAACCTACATTGACATGCCATTAGCACCAAAGTCCATAGTTTACATTATGGTTCACTCTTGGTGGTGTACATTCCATGGGTCTGTGTTATGCATTTGCAAAATCTACTTTAAATACATCGTCTAGGCTTGCTTTGACCCCTCTTATTCCTGGGTTTCAGAACCATGTGTGATCAGTACTGCATCTCCTTTGCTGATGTTGAGAAAGCACATATCAACATTCGAGATTTTATCCACCTCACACCAGTGCTAACAAGCTCCATTTTGAATCAAGTAACAGGGCGCAATCTTTTCTTCAAATGTGAACTCTTCCAGAAAACTGGATCTTTTAAGGTAACAATCTCTTTTGATAGTGTATCATGTTTCTTTTCAAGCCACTTTGATTCTCTTGACCACCCAGTGAGGTAGGTACAATTAATATCTTTTTACAGCTAAAGAAATTGTGGAAATTTTCCTTTGCTCAAGTCCTGGTTACTTAGCATCATGGCGTTGACAAGAGCCACTTTTACACAATCTCAAAATTCCGTATAATTAAGGTGATCACATATAATTTACTATCCAGACTAGGACATGTTTGAGAATGAAAAGGGGGAACTTCTAACGATTAAGCCGAGATCACAGTCATCAACCTGGACATGTGTGATCACCCTGTATATAGCCAAGTTTAAGCATTCACTTTGTCAACTTACTATTTGTTTATACCTTATTATGAATATAAACGATCTAACCCTAGCTCAACCCCCATATAACAGGACCTTTTTCTACAAAATACGTCAGTGCCTCTCCTATGCATACAGATAGATTTCTGTGCTGATTTGTTACCTGAATTCTCTGACCGTTAGTTGAACTTTAAGATCCATTCAGGTAAAAATCTGAAAAGCTGCATTTTGCACTGTGCCTAACAGGTATTGTTAGTACCCATTAAGCGGTAGCTTTAGGATTTCAGGAATTTACCTTTTTCCATACCCATTAACTGAGAACTTTTATTTTAAACAAACAAAAACTTCTCCATTCTCTTTTGCCCTTTGCTTCTGCCATGGTTTATTTTTCATTCATCACGCATCAAGCACTTATTTTCACCAACTATACTAGGTATATGTACACTAGGCCTTGCCCCATATCCATACTTGCAGGGGAAGACAAAATAGGTTGATGACAAATGTCTTAAAAGAGTTACAAGGGCCATAGAAACGAATGAAGTACCTAATTTTGCCTGGGAGAACAAGGAGGTTGAACCAGGTGTTGTTTGATCCAAGTTTTATAGGATGAGTACTTTTAGCCATATCAGGGAGTGGGGGAAAAGAACTACAGGTAGAGGCATCAGCATGCCAAGAGGTACAGAGTTGTGAGCTAACCTGGTAGGATGGAAACTAGAGGCAATTTAGGATGGCTACAACGGTAGACGTAGATATGTTTAGAAAGGCTGCAGCTTGTAAGGGATTTGTACTTTTCTTACAAAAATAGGCAATCAATGAAAAAGGTAACGTTTGTTTTTTAAAAGCTCACTTTCCTAATCTAGTGGAACTATTAGATGAGAATAATCCTTGAGGCAGGATCAGCTGAGATTTGGTGATACCAAGTTGAGAAATGAGGCCTCACCAAGGTAGTGGCCAAGATGAACATGAGGTATTTAGGAGATAGACTCGATAAGATTTAGTCATGGAGTGGATGTGCAGTATTGGAAGAGAAAAATGTAAAAAAGCTCCTTGGTTTTTTGAAAAGAATTTTTAATCAAATATATTAATTCACCATTCCTCTTTTCCAGATTCGTGGTGCCCTTAATGCAATCAGAGGCTTGATTTCTGCCACTTCAGAAGAGAAGCCCAAAGCTGTTGTTACTCACAGCAGTGGAAACCATGGCCAGGCTCTCTCCTATGCTGCCAAATTGCAAGGTACTTGATTAATTTCCCAGGGTACTGGGTAGGCTCGTCAGAGGACTGGAAAAGCAGCCTTAACTTTCAGTGAGGTTGGTGATAGCTGAGGGAATAAATTTCCAAGTCCCTGATTACAAGCAAACTGAACATAAATTTCTATCCTAAATTCTGATTTGTACTAACCAAACATGCTTCTCCCTCCCAGGGATTCCTGCTTATATTGTAGTGCCCGAAACAGCTCCCAACTGTAAAAAATTGGCGATACAAGGCTATGGAGCCTCTATAGTATACAGTGAACAAAGCGACGAGGTAAGGAAGAGAGCAATGTTCAGTACCACCTTAACAGCTTTCATAGTAAAATGAAACTTCTCTTCCTACCTTACTGGCTGCAGCTTCTGTCTCCTTTGTTGTTTCTCTAAGTGTTGGCACGCACGACCTTTTCTCTACCTACACTCACTCAGATGATCTCATTAGTCTCATAGTTTAAAATATCACCTACACTCTAACTCCAGCCCTGAACTTTGCTCTTAACCAGACTTGTACATTCCCACTTGGGTGCCTTAATAGGCCTCTCAACCTTACTGTCTAAAACCAAACTCCTCATCTTAATACTGTTCCACTTCCAGTCTTCCCCATCTCAGTAAATGGCAACTTTAATCCTTCATTATCCTCAAAACATGGAGTTATCTTTGATAACTCTGATACCCCACATCCAAATCTTAGTCCTTTCAAAATATTTCCATAATCCAACTTTTTTTTTTAAATTAATTTATTTTTGGCTGAGTCGGGTCTTTGTTGCTGCGCGCTGGCTCTCTCTAGTTGCAGTGAGTGGGGGCTACTCTTTGTTGCGGTGCGCGGGCTTCTCATTGCGGTGGCTTCTCTTGTTGCGGAACGCGGGCTCTAGGCGCGTGGGCTTCAGTAGTTGTGGCTCACAGGCTCCAGAGAGCAGGCTCAGTAGTTGTGGTGCACTGGCTTAGTTGCTCTGCAGCATGTGGGATCTTCCCGGACCAGGGCTCGAACCCGTGTCCCCTGCATTGGCAGGTGGATTCTTAACCACTGCGCCACCAGAAAAGCCCAATCCAACTACTTCTAACAGCCTCTACCTTCACCATCCTGATTCAAACCAATGTCAGTCCTCACCTAGATTCAGTAGCCTCCTAATTGGTCCTCTGCTTCCACCCTTGCCCCACGAGTCTTGTCTCCAAAAGAGCAACCAGAGCTATCCATTTGGTAAGTCAGAATGTGTCTGTCAGCCTAAAATCCTCCAGTGGTTCCCCATCTCATACACAGTGGAAACCAAAGTTCTTGCAATCATCTATGGCCCAGATGAACTGGCCCATTTCTGTTTTTCTGACTTCATCTCCCACTATTACTCTCCTCCAAACACTCCACACAAACCACACTTAGTTTCTCAGAAAGCCAAGCACTCCTCTCTGTAGTCTTTGTACTTGCTGTTACTCTTTCCTTGGAATGTTCTGGAGGTACACAGGACTTGTTCAAATCTATTAAAATGTCACTTTACCAGTGGCCCTTCCCAAGCACCCTATATAAAATAAACTCATTTTTCTCTAAAGCATTTAGACATACCATATATTTACTCATATCCCACCCCTCCTCACCATATTAGAACATAACTCCACTGAGTGCAGGGACTGTTTTGTTCGGTTATATACCCAGTGCCAAAACAAATTCTGAAAAAAGTAGATGGCAAATAAAGTGTTAAATGACTGAATCTAACTTGTTGGGAACTCTATTAAATACAAATAAAGTAAGCTAAATTAATGTACTCTTTCAGTCCAGAGAAAATGTTACAAGAAGAATTGTGGAAGAAACAGAAGGCATCATGGTACATCCCAACCAGGAGCCTGCAGTGATAGCTGGGCAAGGGACAATTGCCATGGAAGTCCTAAACCAGGTAAAAGCTTAGTTAGTTCTTGTTTAGCCACTTACTGGTAATGCTGTTTGGCCGTAGAACCAATTATTTTATATGTACATATAAAACTGGTTATTAATAGACCTATTTATACTTTATATTCTTTTCATTAAAGGTTCCCTTGGTAGATGCACTGGTGGTACCTGTAGGAGGAGGAGGAATGGTTGCTGGAATAGCAATTACAGTTAAGGTAAGAAAACAGCTTCTGAAGGACTCCCTACTTCAGGCATAGAAGAGTTTATTTTACATCATAGTACATTGTGAATACTTGCTCAACATTCCCCCAAATTGCCATTCCTTCTCATCATCCCTTGGCACTTGAGATAGAAGGCCCTTCTCTTCACCACTACCCTTTTTTCTTTTTTTTGGCCGCGCGGCATGCGGAATCCTAGTTCCCAGTGACTGAACCTGTGCCCCCTGAAGTGGAAACGCGGAGTCTTAACCACTGGACCGCCAGGGAAGTCCCTCACTACCCTTTTCTTAATGAAAACTTTACAGCACAAAAGCCATTACAATGAGTGGCACCCTCACAGTCCTCTGAGTTCCATCTCACCAACCTACTATCCAAGTCAGTGGCTACTCTTTTCCCAAGTTACCAGCAGAACCAGCTGTGATCTAGGCCACCGAGGCCAGAGTGGAAAACAATTTCAAGTGCTTAAAGGCCCTATTTCCATTACATCGATTAAAAGAAAGCCTCTTGGGCAGAAATATGTTAACTGTACCAATCATTTTACTGCAAGCATGCAGGCAAAATGCTGTGGCTAGTTGTAAGCTATCTAATATTCCTCTTCCTAGGCTCTGAGACCTAGTGTCAAGGTATATGCTGCTGAACCCTTGAATGCAAATGACTGCTACCAGTCCAAACTGAAAGGGGAACTGACCCCCAATCCCTATCCTCCAGAAACCATAGCAGATGGTGTCAGATCCAGCATTGGCTTAAACACCTGGCCTATTATAAGGGACCTCGTGGATGACGTCTTCACTGTCACAGAGGATGAAATTAAGGTGAGGCCCCAAGAGGAAAGGAGATAACAAAAGAATGGAGCAACTTCTTAGACAAAAAACCCTCCTGTTGTAAGTGGCAACTCACCCACTAGGGACTCAACTAGGTGATTTCATGACACGAAGGTGGGTGCCCTAGATGTATTAAGACCATAGAAGCAGAGTTGGAATGAAAAAAGCCCTGCCCTTCATTGGCAAGCACAAACATATAGCAATAGGAAAATTCAGACGAGGCATATTATATCCCCATCTGGCCTTTAACTATAAAGGCCAACCATGTAGGCTCTTTCCCCTTTTCACTAATTCTTACTCCTTTCTATACCAACAGTATGCAACCCAGCTGGTGTGGGAGAGGATGAAATTGCTTATTGAACCTACAGCTGGTGTTGGAGTGGCTGCTGTGCTGTCTCAGCATTTTCAAACAGTTTCCGCAGAAGTAAAGAACATTTGTATTGTGCTCAGTGGTGGAAATGTAGACTTAACTTCCCTAACTTGGGTGAAGCAGGCTGAATAAGCCAGCTCTTTAGAAATCTGTTTCTGTTTAATATGTGCAAAAGGAAGAAAAGGGATTCAGTGTCTAAACACTTGGAAATTTTGTCTCCTGGTCATTGTCAACTTCCTATCTTCCCCTCTTAAAGAGCTTTCAAAATCCTAATGGAGAATGTATATTTCAGTAAGTTTTAATAGTTTTTTGGACTAAGTTGCAGTAGAAAAATATCCATACTTAACTGAGATACCTTGTCAAGGCCAAGAAAAGTCTTCTGCTAAAAGGAGCAGCAGACCTTAAGTAGGCTTAAGTAGAAAACATAAACTGCCCAATCACAACCTACAGGCTCCCAACCCTAGAGTGCTAACTAGTAGCAATGAGACAGAATCCCACTGAATCCATTATTCCATGTCCATTTCAGGCACTGTTGAAGAAATCTCACTTTTCACCCAAGGTACTGGTTCTGGTACATATGGATCATAAGTCCATTTGGGGAAAACTCTTTTATAGAGGTTCATCAGTACTGTGTCCTGAGATTTTAGCTTCCCATCAAAACTGCACTTCATGTGGCCGTGAGTACCTACAAAGAAAACAGCACGAGTTGGTCAAATTCAAGAGGAAATTTTAAAGCAGTGGTCTAACCCAACAGTCATTTAGTAGCACTGGGGAAATCTAGACAAGATCCCAAATCCCACATTCTCTCACCTAAAGGCTCCTTGATGTGTCCCCTACGGCCCCACTTTGTTCTCAGTTCCACCGGTTTAAACCACAGCACATCCTCTTAGAATCAAACACACAGAAGACCAAGATGAAACATTTATCCATAATATATAAATCCAACCTTCATCCCACAAAGGCAATTGGATCCCATCTGTCGCACCTACCTCTGTTGAAGAACATGTAACGCACCACTGCCATCTTAGTAAAAATTTTGAAAGGATGACCACTCAGAACAACTCTCTTGATGACCATTCTGTCTGGATCCACTGACAATAGATAGCCTGTGGCAATGAGGCTGTGCATTCCTAAGGGGCAAAAGCAGGGCAGCAGGAGTCCATAGGTCAAAGCCTTCATTTATTGTCCAGTCCATTTAAAGACCTATGCGAGATCTTAGGGAAACAAAATAGGGGTGTACTATGCTGCCCCTCCTGGGTTCATGGCAAAGATCACTCAGTGATATTCCTGCTGAGCCTATCCTCAGAACCTACCCTAAACACAGCCCTCTGAGCAGCCTCTACCAATTAGCTATGGTTTGCAAGCAAGATAAAACCCCATTTGTCATCCTTGCTTCAGACCCAATATGAGGCTGAGATTGGGATATTTTGAAAATCATCATTACCTTTTTTGTGCCATTTGGCCCCCAAATTTAAATACAGAAAGCAGTTAATCTTACTAAGAACCCACAGGCCTATTCACCTCTGTGAACTCAACTTACCATTGCTGTTCTGTTTGAAAAGCAGCACAGATGCAGGAGGAAAAGTGATAGGGGCATATACTGTCACCACCAGAGCCGAGTCAGCAGTCAGGAATCTCTGAAATTTATGTTTATCCGCTGCCATAAAGGTTAAAAAAATAAAAACCAAAAAATATTTTGAGAAACAATAGGTAATCCAGAGGCCTGTGAAAAGCGGTATCACTGCAACTCTTAAACTTAAGGCAACTAGTGTTTCTTTATCCCACTAATTCTCCAAACATTTTCTGGCCTCAATACAACTGAAAGATACAACCCAATCCTATCAGTGATTTTTCAACTGGAGGCAGAATCTTGGAGCTTAAACTATATTTTGGAGTTGGAGAAAGTTCTCCAGGTGATTCTGATACACATCACCCCCACCTCATTTGAGAACCAGTGCTTTACAGAAAAACACTTCACTAATTCAACAGCTCTTAGTCTTGAGCAAGGATTGGCAAACATTTTCTGTAAATGGGCAGATAGTAAATATTTTAGGCTTTGTGGCCATATAGTCTCTGTTCCAACTACTCAACTCTCCCTGTAGCACAAAAACAGCCACAGACATTTTTTAAAAATTAGACAAGAAAGCACAACTGGGGCTTCTCTGGTGGCGCAGTGGTTGGGAGTCCGCCTGCCGATGCAGGGGACACGGGTTCGTGCCCCGGCCCGGAAAGATCCCACATGCCGTGGAGCGGCTGGGCCCGTGAGCCATGGCCGCTGAGCCTGCGCGTCCGGAGCCTGTGCTCCGCAACGGGAGAGACCGCGACAGTGAGAGGCCCGCGCACCGCGATGAAGAGTGGCCCCCGCTTGCCGCAACTAGAGAAAGCCCGTGCACAGAAACGAAGACCCAACACAGCCAAAAATAAATAAATAAAAAATAAAAATAAAGGAATTCCCTAAAAAAAAAAAAAAAAAAAAAGAAAGCACAACTGTGTTCCAACAAAACTTTACTTAACAAAACAAGCAGTGGGACAGATTTGGCCAAGGGCCAAACTTTACTAATCTCTTCTTGGGGACTATCTAGATCTTGTCTTTACCTTCAACAGAAACCCTTTTTAATACAGTATTAACCCTTTTTAATACTGAATGTTATAGGGAAACAAAATATTTTAAGGGAAAGAGAAATCACTCCTTCATTTAGAGAGCATGGCTGGTGAGAAAAGAATTATCCAGAGCATCCATCAATGCTGCCTTTATCCCCTTCCTCCGGTCATTGCTGAGAGCTGAGAGTGTAGGTAATGTTCAGAAGCCCCCAAGTTAATGCAAACATCTTCCCACTCCTAGTACGTAAGAGCACAATCATTTTTTGTCATAAAAGTATTCCTGGTCACCACTCTCTAAATTCTCATGCAGTCTCAACATCTCAGAAGCCACACACTCTGCTTTATCCAACTGAGGGCACCCCTAGGCTTCACCCACACGGCCACTGGCACAACGGATGCCAAGGGTTCCATGACACATCATCTCTAGGAAGCAGCCAACTCCTATCCAAAACCTCCTCTGCAGCAAATACTCATGGCAGAGAAGCCTCAGCACCACACAGAGGTTGCATCACTGGGATGCTTCAGACAGGTTCAGACACTTTGAATGGAAACATCATTGGCTCCTAAACCAGAGTACTGAAAATACCTCTAACCCAGAGACTGAGAGTTTGAAATGGTGTATTCTGCATCTCTCCCCAAATCTCAGTCCCCTAAAAGACAGCAAGATGGACAAGAACCCAGAAGCTTCCCTACTGCTTACCTGCAGTGTGCTGAGAGAATAAAGGTGAGGCTCGGAAGCGCCTGAATCCACAGTGGAAGATCAGCTCCTCTTTAGCTTTCACAGGTTCAGTGCTGCCAGCGTGCCGGCTCACCACCATATTAAGTACTGACATCTGGGGACCAAATAGGAGAACAGAACTTCATATCAGGAATAGAACAGCCTAATCCGCAAGAAGGCAAACCAAACCAGCAGATTAGATTCACTCTAAGAACTGACAGTACTAATTTATGGTGGAGTGTAGATGAAGAGACACAAATTCACCTTTTACCTCCACCAACAACTGGCATTCAAATCGAAAATATGCTGGTGTTCAGAGCTCTCATGTCCCTGCTACACTAGGTGACCTTCCCATGTCTAACGTGCAAGAGCTCAACATCTGCCACAAAATCAGTGCCTACAAGTCACTCACTCACCACACACCTCTAAACCACACTCATTCAAGACCCTTCTTGCCTCAACCCTTACTCACAGTGACCAAAAGGCCAGAGCTCTCACATATACCACAACCTACATGACTGCTGGCCATCAAGAGAAAAAAGATCTATACCTTGTCAGGAACCCTGTTTATTTTCATGGATGCCAACCCTTTGTTAAAGTGTGACCTGACAAACGTACTTCTCTCAGAGAAGTCTCAGAACCACACAGAGATCACGTCACTAAGATGTATCAGACAGGTTCAGACATGTTGGGTAAAACCATCATCGACTTCTCTGTCCTCCTCTCTGACTTCTAATCACAAAGGCAGACTTTTGCGTCCCAATGAGCAAAACGTCAGTCACGTAAAGCTTCAGACTGCCAGACAAAACTGGTTGGAAAGTGTCATAACTCCCGTTTCCCACAGGACGCTAACTCACCTTCTGTTCATGAGGTAGTAAAGAAAATGCAATCAAGGGTGCACCTCGCTTGAAGTGCTCAACCACTGAGACAGGGACTTCAGAGACATGAAGTGTGACATACCAGCCAACCTGCCAGAAGAAAGCAGAAAACAATCATGCAATTACCCTTAAGGTCTCAATAATGATGAAGCATTTCTCCAAATATGTTAAAAAGTCTCTCAGACTACCATAAAGCCAATCCTCAGCCTTCAAGACGGCCCTTCACAGATGCCTCAACTACCTTGATTAAGCTTTTTCAGCTAATATCTGATACCTCTTTGTTCCCAATATCACTCTTACCAATGACTCAGCAGCTCCTCTAATTCAGCTGTAGGCAGCGCAAAACTAATTAAGGTACTCATGCCAACAGAAGGAGTAGAGGGGGCACCTTGGCAAACAAAAACGAATTATAGGGATGCACAAAGGAAGGCAGATACCTCAGCTCCTTCAACCTCTTTTTCTTCAATCTCTTTAAAGATGCGTCTCCTAGTATTAATAAAGTTCTGAAACTGAAAGATCCGAGCATAATCTTGAGGGAGGTTTTCCTTAGGATCCCATGGAGATGTCCGGAAGCTCTTGAGGCCTCTGTATTTCTGAAATCTAGAATACAGAGGATATTTTAAATAAATCAATAGTGAAACTTATATGGTGCTACTTAACCGTTTCACTCAACTCACTTCTAAAATGGCTAAGGCTTAAAAAGAAGAAAAAAAAAAGAAAAAAAACAAGAACAATTTTTGAAAAATAAATAGGTAAATAAATAAAATGCCTAAGGCTTTAGCTTAAAAGAATTCACTATTTCTCAAAATAACCTAACAGCTTAAATCAGAACCACACTCCGAAACAGCCTGAAACAAGTATTTCAGCACCAAACCCCAGCTTCTTAAAAGTATTTACAGCGGCTCCCTGGTGCGTATCAGGGAGTGGCTCTTTAACCTGACTAGCAAGATCCTCGATAAAAGCCTTATCTCTCTAATATCCAGCATAAACTCTCTGGACTAACCTTTAGGGCAAACAGGATCATCTACATCTTCATTCTTTTATTCTCACTGTTCTACCCAAACTTCCCCAAATCTCCAAATGTTATATACTTTGAGTCTTAGCTCCAAAGGAAGCATTAATGACAGCATTTCATTCAGTAATGTACTGTAGCATTATTAGTCTGTACTACACAGTCTAGAATATGAACATTGTTTCCCATATGTCTGTCTTACCTTCCCATATAGTATTAGCCCTTCAGGAGCAAGAACAATGTATTTTTCTTCTTTTACATCACACTGACATAGTTCTGAGCCACGTTAAGTTTTAAATAAAAACATACTGATTGATCTTAGACTTGCTCACTAACCGAATTCTAGCAGCCACGTCACGGGGGGTATCTACTTCATCTGGAAACATCTCTTCCAGTCTTTCTTGTTTATATTTCTCCAGCATTTTCCCCTCAGCCTCTTCATCCACTTTCTCATCATACAGATCATCATGCACGGACTCTCCTATAGTCACCGTTTCACATTCCTCCTCTTCTTCCTTTTCACTACCCTCATCCTGTAGAACGAAGGATTACAATTTCAGAGGAAACTCCTATCTCTACCTTAAAGGCCATCGAGCTAAAATAATTCTACTAGATACCTAGTCCAAACCAATATCAATTCTAATAGAGACTAAGTTATAAAACAAAGTCTCATTCCCGGCAACAAAGTCATTCCTAAGAAACTGACCACACATACCCCTTAAGGTCAGGAATGCACCTTGCCTTGCATTTGGGGCTGTACACAGAAGTTGCCCAAGGGCCCATTTCCTTACCTGAGATTCCTCTTCCATAAAATCCTCACGTTCTATATCATCATACTCATCTCCTTCCCCACCACTTTCGCCATCCTCATCCAAAATCCATTCAGCTTGATAACTGGATGTTCCTTTGGGAACCTTCTTTACTACCTTGGAAGTTTCCTTCAATAAGTCTGTAAAAGCCCAAATGAGTTAAGTAAATTATATACTTCCTTCCCTCCCCTATTACTTTGGGCATTCTCACATAGGCAAGATATTACATATTGCTACCAATACCAGGAACTCTGGCAGGTACTATAAATAGAACAGACTACTTCCCAATTTAATTCAGCTGCCTCAGAACTAGCAATACTTAACACAGCTAAATAAGTCCTATAATAAATCAGAAGTTGTTTATCTGTTCGTTAGGAAACAATAATGTAAGTAATTTTGAGAAACGAAGTAAAGCTGTGTCCAGTGTTTGCTTAGTGAAAACACATAGCCTTTGGAGGTAAGAGAAGACTTCCAAATACTTCCTCATCCTACTCTACCTTATAAGGTCCTCACTGAGCAGCTAGACAAAACCCACAACTCTAGGCCAGAATTTCAAGTTTGCCAATACCAACCATTTGCTTCACTCAGCTCCTCCTCCGTGGGCCAGGTCTGTTCCCCCTCCATTGGATCTGGGATAACCTCTGTTTGCAAAGATTCTTGTCTCTCAGGGTCTGCCTTCATTAGGACCTTCAGGTCTTCCTCCATATCAACTACAGCATCTGTAGCACAAATCTGAAAACCCAAACAGTTGATGGTCAATTAAATATTAGCCAAAAATCGACTAAATCTAACATAATAACCAGAAAGATCTAGAAATAAGTCCTCAAATAGAAGAATAGAAAGTGAAAATTTGCCAGAATTTTTCAAATGGTTCTATTTCCTACCATTCTAAGTCTTTACCTCTGCTTGGCTCTTGAGACCTTGCATAATCTGGTCTCATGCCTACCTTTTTATTACATACCTTACTCCCATCAAGCTGTTATCTTCAGAGTTCAAAGAAACCCTCTGATCCATCACTTTGCCTAGGTTCATGTTGTCTTTATTTGCTAAGATATTCTTCCATCTCTTTTCAACTCATAAATCACGTTCATCCTTCTCAACACCTGGCTCAAGTCTGATCTCTTCTGTGAAGCTTGCCAGTCTTCTTTCTCAACTTCCACTGCAGGTGTGCACCTCAGCCACGCTTTCTCAATCTTTATTTCACAGGTCTTTGCCGTATTTTTCTGACCTAATTAAGTTGTCTAAGGAAAGAGACTACAACCTGTGTGCCTTCTATAAATCCAGAGCCAACTGCTATGCAAGGCATCTACAAAGTACTGGATAAGTATATGATATAGCAACTTATTTGTAGTTGACTACTGCCTTTTTTCGAACTAGCCGTTACCTCCAGGGACTAGGATAGTTGTCCAAGTGTGCAGACAGACTACCCTCTCTGTAGTTCCCATCCTCTGCCAGCTTACACGTGAATCTACAATACATAGTTTTTAAGAACACCAATCTTACCTCCATTGCCATGCCTGGGTCCTTTGGGGATTTGATCACTCTAGGATTTAAAGGGAAAGGGTCCATAGGGGCATCTATCTGTTTCATCTGGAAATCACCATGTCCAACGATATGCAGCAAGTTATTTACATTCAGAGCCTGCCCACGAACATAGCCTGAGATCTTCAAGGTGCCCAACAAGTTATTCTCTTCACTAGGCACAAAGTCAACAGCATGAGCAAATAGGTAGGCGTGCCGATCTCGAAAGGCAAGATGCCGTTGCTTTTGGTTAGCCAACTGCCTGAGCAGCATCCCTGCCTCCTGTTGAGTGTCTAACAGGAGGAGTTTGTCATCAGGAAAGCGCTTCTCCACTGCTTTACTTAGCTTCTTCCTGACATCTGTTTGTTTCTTCAGTGGGAGGCCCGAAACCCCCTGGACAGCTAATGCTGTGAACAAAAGAGAAAGGGTATCATGACTTGTTGCCTCACTATATGAAAATCCCCCCTGTGGCTCACAAACAAGCTAACAGTTCAGTTGTGAGTCCAGAGATCACTGGGAAACCCAACACTCCGCTACCCTAAAGAAATTTCACAATAAAACCAAACTTCACATTCTTCTTCTTTCTCTGGGCAATGGGCAGTCCAGAAATAAAAAGACATCTTGGTAGGTAACTTGTAAAAAATGGACCGAGTTACGGCCATACATGTACAACCCTCCAATAGTATCAAGCATCAGACATAGTGTCTGGCAAATTGTAAGTGCACTATACATGCTAATTCACTTCCTTCCTTGGCCTCCAATACTCCCAACTCACTTACTATAGGTGGGAAGGCCCTGAGCAAAGAGGCAGGAAAGGCAGTAATCCCCAGTGCTATCCCAGCCTTCTAGTGGATCAAGGAGGAACAGGATGGTATCAGCCACTTTAGCCATGTCTAACACAGTGTGCAGATCCCCTGGAAACAGAAGACAAAGTCAGTAGGAAGAGGTGGTTGACATCAGCACATTATACTAAAAAAATATTACCACTAATACGCAAAACATAGTGATAGAAAATATTGTTGTATGCTCTAACCTGGTCTTGCAGATGTAAAAAACCACCGATGTTTCAAGCGGGGGCATAACAGCATAAAGCTATGGGTGCTTCCCCATTCATTCAAGTGTACTGTTCCAGTGTCCCTATCCTGAAGCAGTCGAAAGGCCTCTGGCAGGGAAATCCTGTTGTGCAGGGGAACCACCAGTACCTGATGAGGAGGCCCATCCTTGCTGCCGAGCTGTCTCTTTTCTGCCAAAACCTGAGGAAAGAAAGGATCAGAGAACATCTCAATGTTTCAGTACTTTGTTTCAGTACTGCATTTCCACCAGTACAGATGCCCACCCCGACCCTCCAACCAGCATCTCTCTTGTAAAAGGTGTCATGTATGCCAAGGAGGTGGGCAGGAGCTAGGAACAAAGCAAAGAATGCTCTAGCATGAGTCTGGGCCAGCACGCCTGACACGTGCTCTAGGGTTACTCTCCATCCCTGGCCCCTTCCTAGGGTCACATTTTCTAGTTCGAGGCATTACCCGCCTAGAACAGTTGTGAAGCCACACCATTCCCCAATCCCGCGTCCTCTCACCGCCTCCTTCTTCTGCTTTCGGAGCTGGCTGGCACGATGCCTCTGGTCCACTTTGCTGAGATCTTTTCTCACCTTCTTGCTTAGGGTTTTCAGTGCTAGACGGCCTGTAGGGAGACCAGAAAAGGCTCTTGCGCAGGGCACTAGCAGGTCAAGAAAGGAGATCCCTCTCTGCTCTCCTCAGAGCCTTTGCGCGGGGTCCAAGCCGGAGTAGGTAGGAGCTCATTCTGGACATGAAAAAAAGCAGTTAATATCGACTAAACATCCCTTATTCCTCCAACCCTACCTTCTTACCCTTGCCGTCCCGCTGCGCGGATCCCCGACCCCGATGCCGCCCGCCTTTATGAGGTTTATTCTGCTGCTTAAGCGGGCCAGAGCGATGAGCCGCCATGCTGCCGCTCACGTGTACCAATTCGGCACTACTTCCGGGCCGAACCGAGCGCTTCCGGTCCCCGCCTTGGGGGCGTGTCCTCGCCCGGGGGCAAGGCTCCTCGTGTCCTCCCGCGAGGGTTATCTCCACACGCTTCTGAGGGCACGGCGTCCGAGTCTCCACAAAACCTGCTCGTAAACTTTTACCAGGCGGTGGCCCGCTGTTGCGGGCTTTAAAACGCCGGATGTAGGCTCGAGGTTTGGGCTTTCAGTCTCGGAGAGCTGTTTTGCTCCCTTGTATTTTTATTTTTTGCGCTATCAGGTTGCATCACTTAGGGAGAGTCTCCATTTGTGCAATAGAGGGCTAAGCCCCTCCTCTCACCTAGCTTTGTGCACGCCGCTCCTCAGTTTGCAGCAGCAGGTGTTCTTTGTCACTTTAAGCAACCTTTTCTCGCCCTCAGTGCCCAGGTGGGGCTGCTTAAGTCTACAAGGCAAATCGTGCAGAAGGCGCTTGTCTCACCTCCACAGGTTCCGTACAAGTTCCTGCTGGTCCCAGTCACTCCAAGCTGCGACCCCACATCCCACGTGTGTGTGTGAAGGACCAGACGGGACGTGGCGACCCCTCGGGGGAGGGACGGCTGACCGTGACTCTCGCGCCCTTAGGGATAGCCGAACCTCTGCAGACGGGGGCTGCTAAGCTCCCACTCCTCTTCCCAAAAGCTTTGCAGCTGAGGGCGCCCGGCTGGCAGGGGTGTTTGGAGAAACGATGGCGCTCCGCGGCCTTTTTCCCAGCCAGGGGACTAACACTGGATTCCCCGTGGCCAGACTCGAGGCGTGGGGGCCCCGGCCCTTCCCGTCGGGAAGACGAGCGGGTAGGAATCAGGGGACGTCTAGCTGGATGGGGGCCAGCTTCGGCCCGAGCGACTCACCCCTCAGCCATGGGGTGCCAGGCGCGCCTCGCCTCCCCGCCCGGCACTGGGCGCGGCGGGCTGCTAGCTCTCACAATGCAGGTTCGCGCCCTCGGGGCTGGAGAGGGCGCGTTGCCATGACAACGGCCACCGTGGCGCGCGCCCGGACACGGTGCCCCCCCCTCCCGACCCCCCCCCTTCCAGTGGCTGAGCGCACCACCACCCCCGCCCCCGGCTGTGGGAAGGGGCCGGGCCAGCCTCCTGACGTCGGTGCGGGGCTCGGAAGATGGCTGCAGAGCCCAGCACCGGGCAGTGGCTGCGGCGGCGGCGGCGGCGGCGGGCGGGGAGCGCGGCGGGCGGGGGCTCCTCCTGGCGCTTGGGGCGCTGAGCCGAGAGGCGCGGAGGCAGCGAGGGCGCGTGGGGGGCTTAGGCGGCCGCTGGGCACCACCTTCCCGTCAGCCGCCGCACGATGGGCAGCGCGGAGGACGCAGTCAAAGAGAAACTGCTGTGGAACGTGAAAAAGGAGGTAAAGTCGGGGTACGGAACCCCGGGGGCTCGCGTCCCTGTCCGCAAGGCCCAAGGGACAGAAAGATCTGCGCCCATTCCGGGACGCGGGCGCTCGCTGGCCTTGGGCGGGGGCGGGGTCCTGGACTGGTTTGCGGTTCCCGCCCCACTCCCGGATCAGGGGGCTCTCCTCGGCCCCAGGGGCTAGGCCGGCGCTTCAGGGTTAGTTTGCTCCGCGATCCCGCAGCTCCCCGCCCTGTGAAGGCAGCAGCTCTGGGAGACCGAGGTCGGGGGAGGGGTGGCGGCGATTTCTGGAGAACCCGAGCTGCCCATTCATTGCCCGCGCCGCCTGAGGAGGGGGCGGGGCCCCTCGCAGGCCTCCTAGAGCGCTAAACGGGTGACTTGGGGGTTTAGCTCCGGTTTGCCCTACACCCCATTCAGTTATCTTTCTGGGAACCGAGTCTCGGCTGCAGGAGGGTTCGCCGCACACCTCACTGCTTCTCACTCCACGCCCACCTCCCTACCCAGAGGCCAGGGGGTGTTTTGAGAATGGTTTTTAAGACTCAAGATTATTTTCCTCTTTTGAGGAGTCCCCCCGCCCACGTCAGAAAGAGAAAAAGTCCTTCTCTGTACTAATGTCCTTTACTTTGACCCTGCCCTAAAAGCCATTTCAATTTCATGGTGGTGATGGTGGGGGGTGCCCGTATGACTCACCCGCAAATGAGAGCTGGAGAGTTCAAACCCACAGAGTGCATTAGAATGGATTAGGCCTCTGGATGGAGCCACGAACTCCTCCCACCTACCTCTTTGTCTGCCAGATGTGTAAACTCGTTGAGGGCAGGACACCCATCCGTTTGTCCAGAACTCTGTATCCGCATAGGCACTCAATGACTATTTGGTAAATAAATCTGCTGATCTTGGAGACTGCAAAGTCTGATGGGAATGCATAAACTTTGGGATAGTCTGGACCAGCTCTTTGTGACCTTGAATAAGTTACTTAACCTCTCTGAGTCTCAATTTCTTCATCTCTAAAATAAGGATAGTGATATTCACCTCATATATAAAAGTTTACCATATTGGTTCCTTTACCCTTTCCTAGAGTTTCAGGACTGGAGAAGACTCTGGGTTCTTATAAAATCCTGGAAGGCTCTAGATCGTTCTCCCGCATTAATTATGGCCTGGCTATTGTGCCCTAACTTTTGTTTCCTTCCCTTCTGTTGGCAAAGAAGTAATTGAAGCCATCACCTTTTCCAGCTGTGTGTGAGAAGCTCTATTGTGCCTTTGCTGTGAAGTGGCCAAGTGAGAGGTTTTTTAGGCCAGGAGTACATCAAATTAGAATTTAAGCCCCAACTCTGGTCTCCCCAAGGAAAAAAGAAATCTCAAATCTCAGTAATTATCCTCAGGAAACAAATAGTCTAGTGACAGAGACTAATATGAACAGTATAAACAAGAACAAAAATGTAGCCATACCCAAACTATGGGCACATGTGCTAGCATTGTTGATGTGTTCCAAATTTGGGGTTGGTCAGGGATGATGGGAAAGATTTGGGGGAAGGCAGTATTTAGAAGGCTGTCTGTACTACTCCCAGAATGATTCTTAAACAAATGTAAGAAATGTCCAGAATATGCCACAGCTATGTGTATTACCTGACAGAGGTTGACCTGCTCTGAACTCTTAGTTCCCTTCCCCCTTCAGTGCTTGATTTCAAGAGAAATAAAATCCTTTCTTGTCCTACAAGTAGGGACAGTGCGGGTAATTATAGGCAAGTCTGGCCTTTCATAAAGGACTTGTAGTATAATTCTTTTTTTTTGGCTGTGCTGCACAGCTTGTGGGATCTTAGTTCCCCCGTCAGGGATTAAACCTGGGCCCCAGCAGTGAAAGCGCCGAGTCCTAACCACTGGACCGCCAGGGAATTCCCAGGGTATCTATAGGTCCTCCTAATCCAAAAATCTGCCCAACAGCCTGCTTCAGTTGCCTGCAGGTCTTTGAGCTGTGACATTATGCTCTGTTTAATGCAAAACCCCTTGGGAAGTAATCTAGGAAGGTTTTAATAGTTTAGAGTGCAGGCTCTATTTACAACAGCCAGGACATGGAAGCAACCTAAGTGTCCACTGACAGATGAATGGATAAAGAAGATGTGGCACATACATACAATGGAGTATTACTCAGCCATAAAAAGAAACGAAATTGATTTATTTGTAGTGAGGTGGATGGACCTAGAGTCTGTCATACAGAGTAAAGTAAGTCAGAGAGAGAAAAACAAATACCGTATGCTAACATATATATATGGAATCTAAAAAAAGGTTCTGAAGAACCTAGGGGCAGGACAGGAATAAAGACGCAGACGTAGAGAATGGACTTGAGGATATGGGGAGGGGGAAGGGCAAGCTGGGACGAAGTGAGAGAGTGGCATGGACATATATACACTACCAAATGTAAAGTAGATAGCTAGTGGGAAAGAGCTGCATAGCACAGGGAGATCAGCTTGGTGCTTTGTGACCACCTGAGGGGTGAGAGGGAGGACATGTGGGGATATATGTATATGTATAGCTGATTCACTTTGGTATAAAGCAGAAACTAACACCACTGTAAAGCAATTATACTCCAATAAAGATGTTAAAAAAAAAATAGAGTGCAGAATCGATCCGATCCCCCTTTACCTAACCGCTAACCATGAGCACTTTGCAGCAGGGAGGAGACTCCGGGTCCTTCCTCCCTCCTCCCCAGACTTCAGAAGCTCTACCACCCTCCAAACCAAAGTGAGGGCCTGGGGAGCAAGGGCAGCATCAGGACACTGGACACAGGACACTGTCCAAAGAATGGCAAAGACTAGCTGTCCCAGAGCTTACTGTGTCTGTAAGATTTAATGTTGGGATTGAGGTAATCCATCCCGCTAATCTTCAGTATTAGTATTTGTCTCCTGGCAGGTTCCCCCAAGGCATCAAAAGTGTTGGGAGCAACTAGAACCTCATATACTCCTGCTGGGAGTGTAAATTGATACAACCACTTTGGAGAGCAACTTGGCAAAATCTAATAATATAGAATATACTCATCAGAAATTCCTTGCCTAAAAATATAACTCCAAAGAAATGAGCACCCGTGTTCACACAAAGACATGTCTAGAATGTTCACAGCAGCACTACCCATAATAGCCCCAAATTGGAAGCTACCCGAATGCCAGTCAATTGTGAGTTGTTCACACAATGGAGAATGAACAATGCACATCCATATACAACATGAACAGATCTCACAGTCACACCAAGGAGCAAAAGAAACCCAGTCACAAAAGCTACACAGTGAGCCATTCCATCTATAAAAAGTACAAAACCCCGCAAAAGTGCTCTATGATGTTAGAAGTCAGGATAGTGGGTACCTTTGAGGGAAGTAGTGACTAGAAGGAAACATGGCAGAGTTTGGGGGTACTTTAGGGTGCTGGTCACGTTTTGTTTCTTGATCCGATGCTGGTTTCATAGGTGTGTTCAATTTGTGAAAATTCTTCAAGCTGTGTAATTATATATACCCTTTTCTATCTGTACATCAATTTTTTTAAATTAATTAATTTATTTATTTTTGGCTGCGTTGGGTCTCTGCTGCTGGGTGTGGGGGTTCTCTAGTTGCGGCAAGCGGGAGCCACCCCCCGCTGCCGTGTGCAGGCCTCTCACTGCAGTGGCCCCCCCACCGCTGCGGAGCACGGGCTCCAGGCGCGTGGGCCTCAGCAGCTGTGGCACACAGGCCCTAGAGCGCAGGCTCAGCAGTTGTGGCGCCCGAGCCCAGTTGCGCCGCGGCATGTGGGATCCTCCCGGACCAGGGCCCGAACCCGTGTCCCCCACACTGGCAGCTGGATTCCCAACCACTGTGCCACCAGGGAAGTCCCTGTACATCAATTTTAAAGTTTTTTTTTTTAAGTGCTTTCTAAAGAAGGCTGTGACCGCTTACCTTACAAGGCATTCAGAAGCTTTTACATGCAGGTAGGAACCCAAACATAGGGCTTTACCTAGACAGAAAGAAGACTGGGCTTGTGAGCATGTGGGGAGTGTCCCTGAGGCCTAGATGGACGTGTACCCCTACCCTCAGAGAAGGGAGAAAAGGAGGGTCAGGTTGTTTATCTGGAGCCTGTACTGAAACAGTTTGTCCCTAAAGGACAGTGTGTCTGCCCACAGGCCCTTCTGCAGCTAAGTACAGATGTGCAAATAGCATCCCCCCCCTGTTCTCTATAGCAGGGCACTTCCTCCTGGGTTGGAATATCTGTACTGATTGATTGGTGGGTTTATAGCATCTTTTTTCCTGGTTGCCTTTCCAAGATGTTGGTGCTATCTGTACAGAAGTAACTTTGCTTCCTCACCCCTCCCTTTCCTATCATCTACTCTGCAGGTGTCTGAACCCAGACCAGGGGGGCAGAGCCAAGCCATTTACTTGCTCACAGGCCTTTGGTCAATCAATTAATCAATCAATCAATCACGACGCTGCCCATTTATTCACAGGTGAAGCAAATCATGGAGGAGGCTGTCACCAGGAAGTTTGTGCATGAAGATAGCAGCCACATCCTTACTCTGTGTGGTGAGTGAGCGACTAGGGGATAATGGGAGAGGGGTTTAAAAACTGAGGACACTATCTTGGGGCCAGGGAAGGATGAGTTCTCAGGTTCAGTAGTTCTCAAATCTGGCTGCAAGTCAGAATCAACTCAGAAGCTTATGAAAGGGATCTCTGGGTCCCATCCCAGACCTACTGAATCAGGATCCCCAGGGCCCAAGAATCGCCTATATGTGTCTAGTTCCCAAGGACAGTAGTGCTCAAATTTTAGCATGCATCAGAGTCACCTGTCGGACTTGTTCAAACAGATTCCTGGGTCCCAACCCTGGAGTTTCTGATTCTAGTCTGTCTGGGGCAGTCCCAGGAATTTGCATTTCTAGCAAGTTCACAGATGATGCTGATACTGCTGGTCCAGAGACCACACTTTAAGGGCCATTGTCCTAGGTAGGACCACTGCTAGGGAACCACTGCTCTGGTTTATCTTTACATTAACTTTGGGGAAGGGTCTGTGCTTTTGGATGCTTTCTGTGCCACATCTATTTTCTTTTTTTTTTTTTTTTCTGTACGTGGGCCTCTCACTGTTCTGGCCTCTCCCGTTGCGGAGCACAGGCTCCGGACGCGCAGGCTCAGCGGCCATGGCTCACGGGCCCAGCCACTCCGCAGCATGTGGGATCCTCCCGGACCGGGGCACAAACCCGCGTCCCCTGCATCGGCAGGCGGACTCTCAACCACTGCGCCACCAGGGAAGCCCCACATCTATTTTCTAATTAATCCCACCTGTGTTGCTTCAGCATCCAAGCACTCGACTGCGTGCAAAACAACATGAGTGTAAAGGAGGGATAGCCAAGCCTTCCCACCTCAGAAAGGAGAAAGTCTGTAATAAACCAACGCTTCTGCCTCAGTGTGAACACTTTTGCTTTTGTAGGAGCAAGCCTGTCCCTACACACAACTGAATCTTCTTGGATTTCCAGGAATTTGACCTTCTGTTTGCCATCTTTTTTTTTTTTTTTAATTTAATTTTGGCTGTGCCAGGTCTTAGTTGCGGCATGCAGTACCTTTTGTTGCAGCACGTGGGCTTCTCTCTAGTTGTGGCGTGTGGGTTTTCTCTTCTCTAGGTGTGGTGCGCAGGCTCCAGGGCGCGTGGGCTCTGTAGTTGGTGGCACGCAGGCTCTAGTTGAGGCACGTGAGCTCAGTAGTTGTGGCGCGCGGGCTTGGTCGCTCCACGGCATTCGGGATCTTAGTTCCCTGACCAGGGATCGAACCCACGCCCCCTGCTTTGGAAGGCGGATTCTTTACCACTGGACCACCAGGGAAGTCCCCCATTTGCCACCTTTATGTTGTTTTCCTTGGCCTCTGAGATTGGTGTTCATTGAAGGGAGGTTGTGCATTTCTGAGGTGAAGGAATGAAAGGAGATACGGGAAGGAACACTTTTGACAGTAGCATGGTGAGGCCGATAGAGCTGCCCCTCCCATCAGTCCAGCAGCAAACACTGAAGGTCCCCCAGATTCTAGATACTGTTCTCCAGGTAGGGAAACAGCAGTGGCAAGATGGACAGCATCTCTGCCCCGGAGGATTACATTCTGTGGGCAGAGAGACAGAAAACAAATGTATACGTGAATATATCCTGCAATAACAGGTGTGGCAACAGCTACGGAAAAAAAAAGAGAAATGTGGGAGGGCGACTGGGGAGAGGCAGCCTGTGAGCAGAGCCCCAGTGACAGACTGAGGGTTCAGACAAACCCTGGTGCTCTGCTTACTTCTCAAGTTGTTTTGGACAAGTTTCTTAACTTCTGTCCCCCACAGTTTGCTCCTCTAAAAACAGGGTGGTGATTCCCAACTTAAGGAATTTTTGTGGGTATTGAGATGATACATGTGAAGGTTCCTGGCGTTGTAAGAGATGAGAAAAATGTCTGTGTTTTCTCCTCTTTTGGATGGTAAGCCTGAAACTAGGTTTGCAGGATTTGAGGTCCTACTATCTCCCTTTCGGGTAAGTTTCCCTGGTTCTTTGAGATGATATAACGATTCTCAGGTTTGCAGGAGCAGTCTGATCCTACTTTTCTCGGGCAGAAGCCCTGCTGGGGAAAAAGCATGCTTGCAATAGGTGACTTTGACGAGTATTAGAACCCTACTCCCTTCCACCTGTGCTGTGTTCCCCTGACGTCAGCCAGTGTCTGTCATTGTCACCAGAAGGACTCTAGTGGTGGCCCAATTAGTCATGGCATGGTGCTAGGCTTCGTCCAGAGCACACACAGCAAACACAGAAAACAGAATAAAATAGCACAGACAGCTTGCGCATGGGCGCCACATGTGGGCGGCCGTAGGTAAATGGGGGAAGAGAGGCAGGGGAAAAAGCTGTTGGCGTCCCACCATCAGGTCCGTTAGGGTGAGGAGAAACTGTCAGCTCTCCTCTGATGAGTCCAGGGGCCCCCAGGAAGCAGTAGGCCTTTCATTTTTGCCTCTTGCCTTGAAGCCCATGGCTCTTTCCAGCAGGCAGGGATAGCACCTTCAAAAGGAATGATTCTACTTTCAGCCAATTTCAGTCACGGAACTAGAACAAGGGTCTATGAAATAGACCCAGGTCTCCAGGGTTCTAAGATCAGCCCCAAAGCAAGGGGAGCCCTGTTCTGCTGGATTTCGGGAGGTGCCTTAGGTCACAGTGCAAACTTAAATGCCCACAGGGTCGAACGAGAAAAGTCCAGGTGTGGGACAGCAGGCAGTGGTGGGGACTGGGGTGAAATGGGTAGCACTTGCCATGTTTGAAGGGGGCAGCCACCACTCAGCTTCTGAAGGAATGCTGGCCCTGGCTTGCTATGGCCCTTGTTTTATTTTAAGAGAAGCCGGAAGTCTGGGTTTTTACATGAAATGAACCAATTTTTTTTTTTTTTAAATGAACCAATTTTTAAATGCTGATAACTAATTCCCATTAAAAAAATAATTGTGTGGGCTAACAAAAGGCATCTGCAAGCCTCTGCCAGTTTGCTGCCTCTGCTTTGGGCTTAGTGCACAGTCACGGAAGGGAATGCTAGCAGGAGGGGCTCCCGATAGTATAAAGCTAAGTCAAGCCGGGGCATCTGAGACCCACGGGAAAAGGAATCTTTATACTTTGTTGAAAATGGTGTTCAGTGGTGAGGGGGATCTCGGTTCGGGCTCCAAATAAGGTTGGTTTAAAGCAGTGATTATCGAGACTTCCCTGGCAGTCCAGTGGTTAGGGCTCCGCACTTCCACTGCAGGGGGCACAGGTTTGATCTCTGGTACGGTAACTAAGATCCCGCATGCCACCCAGTGTGGCCAAAAAAAAAAAAAAAAGAAAGCAGTGATTATCAACCATTTTTCCTGCCTGCATCACACAGTGAAATCATAATCAGGGATTCCTAGGGGGAGGCAGAGAGAATAGACATGTACTGATGGAAAACTCCACTCTTCTGGCTTTTTGGAGATTCTGAAATGCCAGGCTCCTTCACCCCCTGGAAAAATGCTCAGAAGTGCATTTTTAGTCTGAAGTGGTCCCAGTCTTACCCTGGGTCTTGCAGTTGTCCCAGCCACATCCAGGATTCAGCTTTGTTCTTGGGGAAGTGGGAGTACAGAGAAAGTGCTGAGAGAAAGGGAACAGAGTGAAAGCTGTGGAGACTGGATTAACTGTGCAGTGAGTGACCCCTTTTACTAGAGCTTTGTGGAGGGCTGGGGTCCTGGGCCCCTCTGCCCTGCCTTGGCCCCTCTGTTCATCGCAGAGTGTGGCTAGGGGGTGACCGAAGAGGGCAGGGCCTGAGCAAGATGAGCTTCCCTGAGCTTCCTTAGAATACAGACATTTGAACCGGAAACAGAACCTTTCTGGAGAGCCTTAGAAATGAAACTGAAGAATCCCTGGGTCAAGACCTGGCCGTGGGCAAACCCAGGAAAGTTCCTGTTCCTCAAGGGGAGGAGTGACACTCCCAGGACTGACGAGAAACGTGCGTGTGTTGTGTTTGCTGTGCTTGTTCCTAAACCTGTCTGTCTAGAAGCCGGTCAGGCCCCAGCAGTAGGAACCGTGTGAGGAGGCCTTGCTGGCAAACCCAGCTGGCAGGGAGGGGTTCTATGTGTGCTGTTCTCCTACCACAGAGCAAGGCTGCATTGCTGCTCTGAGGCACCCCCTGCCAGCCCCCAGGACCTGTGTGACTGTACCCGTGCACTGGAGAATAGGCCCAAACCCCACTGTTGGGAAAAGGTTCTTGGATATCTCGTCTTCATCTTAAAAAGTCATGTCAGGGGCTTCCCTGGCGGCGCAGTGGTTGAGAGTCTGCCTGCCGATGCAGGGGACGCGGGTTCGTGCCCCGGTCCGGGAGGATCCCACATGCCGCGGAGCGGCTGGGCCCGTGAGCCATGGCCGCTGAGCCTGCGCGTCCGGAGCCTGTGCTCCGCAACGGGAGAGGCCACAACAGTGAGAGGCCCGCGTACCGCAAAAAAAAAAAAAGTCATGTCAAGTTTGCGTTTTGCTCCATAATATGGCCTCTGAAACTTTGTGCTGCTGAATGAAATTAATGCTTCCTGTTTTTCTGTGGCTTCCTGAACCCCCCGGGCATAGGTTGCTTATCTCCTGCCACCCCAACCCCCAGAGGGCAAGGTGCTCTTAAATTTTGCTTGTGGGCAACTCAAGGTCAGGGTTAAACAGCAGATTGTCCTAAGTTTCACCTTTGAACTCCGCATTTGTAATAGCAATATGACTGCGCATAGAGTGCCCAGTTACTCTTCCCATCAAGGGGTCTGGGGTAGTTTAGGCCTTAACCGAGGAGCACTGTGCCTCCCCTCCCCTTTGGCTCAGAGGGGAGCATCTGCCTCCACAGTGTCTCTGTTTGTTCCATTCTAATTGGGCGCTGAGGTTGGATTTTAACCACTGGTGGGTAGAAGGGCTTTAGGAGGCCCACAGAGAGGTTCCCGGCCTGGCAGAGCAGGTTCTTAGACTTGTAAACATCTCCTTTTTCTGGCCACAGGCACTGGGGGTGGGACCCAGACCAGCCCTGCCCCTCAGTCCTTAGGTTCCCTGCCCTCCCCGCGCTGATCCGTCCACCTGAGGGTTGCTTCAGACTGAGGATGAGCTGTAATGGGAGACGGGGGTGGAGTCTGTGGAGCTGGGAACAACACCAGGGCTTTATTAACCCGCTGCCTGTTGCTAAGCAGCTTTCATTAGCCGGGAAGTTCAGCCGCAGCAAGCTCCTCTGGGGAATAGCAAGGAGATGCTAATGAGCTGGGAGAGAAGCAGGTGTGACGGGAGGGCGCGTCCCACCTGGGGTACTGCAGCCAGAGGTATTTCAGCACTTCCTGAGATTCAGGCACTAGCCAGTTTTTACTCTGTCTCTCTTCAGTGAAAGGGATTCCTTCTCTCTTCTTCCTGCCCACACTGAATGAACAGCTCATTCTCAGCATATCTGGCTTCCACTTTCCATGTGGTAATGATCCAGTAGGAAGAAAGGCCCTCTGGGAGACTGGCTCCCCTCGCCCTGTCTTGGGGCGTGGCTGAGGGCACGTGGTGATGGTCTGTAGCGGAGACTTTGGAGTCCGGCAGACCTGACCTGCGTTCACAGACCATGTCACCAAGTGTGTGACCATGGCCACTTATTCAGCAACTCTGAACCTACGGAATAAGGTTGATGTGAGGATTAAAAGAGTGATGCGGGTAAAGCAGACAGCATGGAGCCAGGTATGCAGTAGGTGCTCAGTAAATGTCGTCACCACCACCAGTGACATTCTACTTTGTTCTTGAAAGTGATCTTTTAACCTTCCCCATAAAGCCTCCTAGAACCTTCTCCAGGATTCCATTTAGGAATCCATGTTTCTGAGAGTTTTGAGCATCTGGACAATCAGAACAATTTGAACTCTGGGAACCCAATCAAGGAATTTGAAAATATTAAGAAATTATTATTGATTTTTTAGGTGCAGTGCAGGTATTAGGTACATGACTCTTTAAAAGAGTCATCTTTTAGAGAGACACACTAAAATATTTATGGACAAAAATATATGATATGTAAAATTTGCTTCAAAATGATCTAGGGATAAGGGGGAAAGTGGTTGGAGGTGGTATAACTAAAACAAGATTGGTCCTTCCTTGATCATGGCTTGTGTTGTGTGATGGGTACTCGGGGGTTCATTACATCATTCTCTTTACTTTGGTATATGATTGGAATTTTCCAAGATGAAATGGTTTTTTTAAAAAGAAGGAAGAGGAGGAGGAGAGGATGGGTGGAGGAAGAGATAGAGATAGCAAGTGTATGCAGCTTTTTTTTATAGGATATTTTTTATTTCAAAAAGTATGTATTGAATGCATCCTTAAACCTTAAACAGGATTCTGGACACGTAAGCCTGCCGAACAGACAAATAAGTATGGAAATCTGCCCCACCTTCTGGGTGTTGGAACTGGATGTTGGGTACTGGAGGGTGGGGTCTGGAGTCACGTAAATATAGAATATTTTATTATTATTATTTTTAAGGCCGTGCCACGCGGCATGCGGGATCTTATTCCCCCACTAGGGGTCAAACCCATGCACCCTGCAGTGGAAGCGTGGAGTCCTAACCACTGGACCGCCACGCCAGGGAAGTCCTAGAATACTTTATAGGAGTAGATCAGCATTAAATACTAGTCACTGAATTTTCATAATTTAATTTGTCTTGTAGACTGTTGTGTTTAATCCAACACATAGAGATAGTCCCACCCCCGAGCTGGCCCAGCCTCTGTCCCCAAGTCCATGTACAGACATCTGTTAGTGGTGGAGGCTTCACAGTCTAGAACCTGTGCCCAGGGGCAGTGGGGAGAACAGGGAAAGGGAGCAGATGTTGCTGAAGGGTCCTCCCTGATCCTGGACCCCCAGCTGGAGTCAGGAAGGACCTGCTGTCGCTGAGGCTGCTGCCTTCCCTTCGCATCCTTGGTCTTTTAAAACGACAGGGTCCGGGTGGGGGACCTGGGTAGTTCTAGAGAGCGAACACAGAAGAGACGGACGCAAACCCAGCCCTTCACCGGCCCACACCAGGCCAGTCATCACCTGGCTGCCAGACAGTAGGATGGTCAGTCATGCGGTGGCCAGTCATGGTGAAATCCAAAAAGAGGAGGAAGAGTAGAAACCCAGGACACTGGGCCCCCACCATGAGGGAGCTTCTACAGGGAAGGCCAAAGTCCTGAGTCCCCAGTGCTGACCATAACCGCTGAGGCAAGCTATGAAGGCTGGTTTTGTAAGAAAAACGAGCGTTTGCAGCTCTCCTGTCCCAACAGAAAAGCTCTACGTGATCCCTCTCCCCATAAGTCACTGGCAACGGGAAATCCTTGACCTTGATGGGGCTACAGGCATGCCTGTCTAGAGTGGGGTGGGGAGAGCTCTGGTGACCACAGCACACGTCCTCCCTCCCCTCCCTGTCCTGCCTTCTCAGGCTGCCGAGGAGACAGGCCCAAGGAAGGGCACCTAGAGTCTTTCCCTTGAGATCAAGACCTAGCCCTTCTTCAGGGAGGCAGCTGCAGATGACCTGTCACAACAGTTATCACAACATCTAGCTGCGTGGCACATACACAACTTTACTGAGAAATTTTATGTGCGAGGAAGCAGCTAAATGGTTTAACACCTAAATGGCGATGTAGGGCCAGGGGAGGTGGTGGTGTGTTTTTTTTTAATTGGAGAAATTACAGAACAGTTATGTACACATGAAAAGTATCAATAGGAAAAAATTAAAGATACAGGAAAGAGAAGGGATGTTTGCTGGAGTGATGTCCTTGAGAGGTGAAAGGGGCTGAAATCCAATGCGCAGGTGGGAGGGGTGGCCTTAGAGGGGAGCACAGCCAGAGCACCTGTAGGTACCAGAGGGAGGGCAGGGGACGGACGCAGCGCAGGAAGGAAAGGCACTAATGCTTATCCATCACCTTCCATGTTCCGGGTGCTACAAAGAGCCTTGTGCCCCTCTGCACAGGCTGTTGCCTTTAGTCACTCAGCACCCCTTGAGGTGGGACCTGTTCCTTTCCCTCCCTGCAGGTGAAGCTCAGAGAGACTTAGTGGTCTGCACAAAGTCAAAAAGCTAGTAAGGAAAGGAACCAGGGTTTGAACCCACATCTGTCTGACTCTAAAGCCTGTGTTGCCCAGGGATGGGTCCCCCTGTGAGGCCTACCCAGGAGTGGAGCCTGGAGGTGTGGGGCATTGAGGGGAAGTTGGAGGCATAGCTTGGATCACCAAACAGTGGACTCGTGATGTCCAGAGACACTCCGGGAGACGGCGGGTCTCTTGTCGAGCTGGGTGAGGCTGGCACTGGCCTGGTTCCCTGGCAAGCCAGTGTGAGCACTGCACATGCAGACTCTGCCCTGCATCCCCAGCAGGGCAAGGAAGATGGGTATGTGTGGTATGAACTTCATTTCTCTCACTTGCTTGGTTCCAGAGTATCAGGGCAGTGCTTACTCCTCCCAGTGAAAGTCTGGGTGGGAGAGTTGCGTTCTTGTTTCAGGGCTTTGAACAAGGCTGAGTGCCACCTCCCTCAAAGCTGAAGCAAACCACTCGCATCACCAGTGCAGGCGGAAGGAAAAATGTACCCTTGTTACCATAGAAATGCTTGTTCCGCGTGGAGGCAGCCGTCACAAATCCCTGGTGGAAATAGCCGGCCGGGGAAGTGGGGAGGGGAGAGACGTAGGATGCCTGGCCTCGCCTCTTTGCTCCCCTCACTTCATCCGCTACAAGTGAAATGTTGACTCCCTCCATGGGCAGTTGAGGAAGTTCCTACTTAAAAAAAGGCCGCCCATCCTACCCAGTCCTCTATCTCCAGGGAGGCTGCTCCTCTCCTGGAAATCTTGGTTTCACCATCCAAGGCTTTTAAAAATTCTGCTCTGAGTAATGTCCTCCAAAACTCCAGGACCAAAACAAGCCACTTGTGGCTAGCTGCTCCAGCCAGCGCTTTCCTCACCTGGAAGCTGAACTCGCCTGTTGCACAGATGGCAGCTGGCAGAGGTGGGGAGCAGGGGACGCAGGACACACGTGCTCCTCCCATTATCAACCCCTCCTGGCTCAGAGCCTTGGGCCCAGCCTTCATGTCAGGCTGTGCTAACTGGGTGCTGTGTCCCTCTACCTCAGCCAACTGACCTACTTCTCTGAAGGCCATTCAGTGGGTCCCCCTGTTACCAGGCTGGGCTTGTCCAGGCCCCTTGGCCACTGAACACAGTTTAACTGTGGATATGCGTGTGAGAGCCGGGGGTTGTTTCTGAGGCCCGCTGGGCTGACTGAGGACCCTTCTCAACCACTGCTGCGTTTCCTGGCAGCCATGGCTTTAGTCCATTCTCGTGGGCTCCTGAGACACCTAAGCTCGTCCCAGCCCACTGAATTGTTTCTCCGGTCCCTACGCAGCGCAGATCACCAGTGGCTACCCTAGGCAGAGCCCAGATCATCCTGTGGGAGGGGGAACCAAGCTAATCTGCAGACCCTGTTTGCTGTGGGAGCTGGTGATGGGGTGGGTGCCCATGGACAGACCCAGCCTTTCTGAGTTTCATGACTTTCAATTGACCTCCAGGTTGGAGAGAATCTGTAGCATCCTTTCATGATGGAATTATTGTTATTATTTTGAATCGGTAACCTGGCTCAAATATCAAAACTATACAAAAGGTACACAGTGAAAAGTCTCACTCCTTTCCCTGCCCCCATTCACCCACTTCCCCTCCACCTACCAGTTTCCACACCAATAGTACTACCACTCTTCCTTCTTGTGCATCCTCCCAAGTTTTTTGTCCTGATTTTTTTTTTTAATTCTATTCTTTGTTTACCCCACCCTTTTTTGTAATTAAAAGGTATCATGCAGTCAAACTGCTCTGCATCTTGCTTTTGGAGACCTTTCCGTTATTAGTTCTTGAAGATCATTCTCATTCTTTTTCAGAGTGGCATAATATTATACTGTATGAATGTGCCGTATTTACTTAATCTGTCCTCTATTGATGGACAAGGGGATAGTTTCCAGTCTTCTGCTGTTGTAACTAAGTAAGCATGATTCTATCTGTAAGCTAGATTCTCACAAGAGGGGCTACTAGGTCAGAGGTTATTTGCAATGTTCATAGACAGTGCCACATTGCCACCGTAGGGGGTCTTACCAATCCAACAAGGTCTGAGAACATTCAGTAACTTCCCAAGTCCCTTCCCTCTCTATCTACTGATGTCTCCTCTGTTCTAAATTGGACTCCTTGGAATGGTTAAATCAGTAAGTAAGGAGTTTGTGGGAGGGGCCCTATAAGATTCCATTAGCACTCGTGGTCTCCAATCCATGTAGCATTTGTTGAGCCCCGTATCTTTTTTTTTTTTGCGGTACGCGGGCCTCTCTCTGTTGTGGTCTCTTCCGCTGCGGAGCACAGGCTCCGACGCGCAGGCTCAGCGGCCATGGCTCACGGGCCCAGCCGCTCCGCGGCATGTGGGACCCTCCCGGATCGGGGCACGAACCCGTGTCCCCTGCATCAGCAGGCAGACTCTCAACCACTGCGCCACCAGGGAAGCCCAAGCCCCGTATCTTAATAGACTTTAGGGGCATGTCAGAGACTGGTGAGGGACAGTCCCAGGGCTTGTCTGGGCTGTAGTTCACTGCTTTTCCTTGGGACGATGGTGCCAGACCTTGCCAGGGTGGGATGTCCACAGCAGGGTGCTAAAGTTAAAACTATTTCCACTCCTGCCCACTCCGAGTTGCAGTTCCCTGAGCCTTGCTGTCAGTTGCATAGGATGACAGAGTAGAAAGGGTACCCTGGGCTCATCCGGTACCATAGCTCCAAAGGCCACTGGAAGACCAAGGTGGGGAGTGAGAGGATCATGCTTGTTGAGTCATGTCTGTTTCTCTGTTTCAATTCATTCACCCAAACCTTCCCATCCCAACCAGTGACCAAAAACAGTGTTGATTTTTATCAATTAGTACATGTTTTTCTTATGTGAAGTGACCTGAATGATGTCAGGGCTGTCTCTCCCCTCTTTTGGGGCAACCAGAGTGGCTGCGGGTGGTGCTGGGAACCCTGAGACAGGGGCTCCTGAAACCTTCACGTCACGGCTGGGGACCAGGGCCCAGACAGCTCAGTTAGAAGGGGGATGATTTTGGCTGACTTGGTGCTTTGGCTGTGATGGGCGTCTCCTCCAGGGGCCTCTGTGTGATCTTCTCCCTGGAGAAGGGTGCTTCTTGGTCTGTGAGAGGGCCTCCTGGGGAGCACAGACAGCTGGAGAGTCGGGCATTATTGCTGATAGCTCTACAGTTCTGAGTGTGGTGTTCTCTGTATGTGGGGAGAGGCCAGGGGGATCTCTGTACTTGCATATCTGTAAGTGTCGATCAGTGGAAGTGTCTGTGGTTCCTCTCAACCCAAAAGTCTTAGAGCAGGGTTTTAAAACTTTCTGAGATCAGATACCCTTTTCAGAAACTAAAAGCCAAGGATCCTTTATCCAGAATAAAAACACTCACCTAAGCCTGCAGAAGCAGACCAGTGATTCTGTGTGCAGTTTTAGGGGGTCTCGAAGGTCTAGAAGCCTATCAACAAACCCTCTTAGGAGAGTAATTCTCAATTATATATTATCAGTGTCATTATATTATTATTTTGCCTACACACTGCACACAGTGACGTGCACCTTCCCTCTGGGGGACGGCCCTGTGGGAATGGGGAAGGACTAGTATAGTTTGAACAACTAACTGGCCAAGGAGCCCGTGGAACCAGCTTAGGAATACCTGGCATAGAGGGTCGTTTACTTTGCTTGGAACATAGAGAGTTGAGACAGATTTTTCCCTCTGCAGACGTCGCCTGGCACCTTGCCCGGGTTTCACAGAAGGAACTTAGGGGCCATGGGGTGAATGGGGGCACTGGGTGTGTTGTTTGGGCTTCTCTCAGTATTCCCTACTTGCAGTAATTGCTGAGGAATGCCTCCACCCACCCCAGAGAACCCTGAGGCCTGTGCTCACAGTCTTCCTGGCAGGCTGGGTGAGGCCAAGCTGCTGCCTGCATCCCCAGGCTCCCCAGCCTGGCTACATGGGCAGTCGCCTGGGGAAGGTAGGAGAGCTAATGACTCATTATCCCGGCAATTAGTCACGTCACCGAGGCACATGATTCTCTGCAGGACTGGTGCCACCTGCTGCTGCTCTGGCCTTGTTCGGTGCTGCTTTTCTCCCACTCTGATCCGGGAGTGCCGCCCCGGAAATAGTCACCCCCTTCTTCCAGCTGTGGACTTGTAGCTGCAGCAGCCCCAGGACCAAGAGACTATGACAAAAAGGTCACTCACCTATGTACCTCAGGGCCACGCAGGACCTCCAGGGACCAAGGGGACAGCCATGGAGGGGAATATGTGGACACTTAAGCAAAGGTTCCCCCACATGTCCCATACGCACATGATACCTGTGGATACATCTGTCTGCGTACGCATGTGCTCATCGATATATGAACATGCCATGAAGGAAAGGCTGCAATTTGTGAAATAAAGTCCTCCGAGGCCTGACCTCCCAGGAGAGGGAGGGGGTCCTGTTTTGTTTCCCCTTCCCTGGGATGCTCTCAATGAACTGGCCAGCTTCCACATTGGCCCCAGGGACTCTCTCTAACTTCTTGACCTCAGTACAAGAGAGAGCCAAACAAAACTCTTTTATAGGTCATCAGTGACTGTCAGTAACAATGAAGGCAGAAAACAGGTGAGAGCCTCTGTTTTCGGTGATTATTGATTATTTCCTAAGTCCAGGTTTCCTTCTTTGTTTTTTTTTTTTGGCTACACTGTGTGGCATGTGGGATCTTAGTTCCCCGACCAACTATCGAACCCATGCCCCCTGCAGTGGAAGCACAGAATCTTAACCACTGGGCCACCAGGGAAGTCCCCAGGTTTCATATTCTAACAACACTAGTCACAGTAAGCTTGATGGGGCCTCAGTTCCCCTGTTCCTAAGAGAATGACACCCCCACCCACCTCTGGGGCAGCCTGTGATTCTCTCTAGTGTGTCCTCACCCCTCACTGCCCGTGAGAGGACTTGCAAAAACCCAGCCCTTACAGGTTAGCCATAGAACAGGATCTCGACAAAAAGAAATTAGGAGTCAGGAACCGACTGGCATCAAGAGCCTCTGGCATGAGGGGTTTACATACTTCATCTCATGTAACAATTCACACCAGTCCTAAGAAGTCTCCCCCATTTCACAGATGATAAAACTGAGGCTCAGAGCATCAAGTCACTTACCCATGTTTTCCAGAAGTAGCGAGTGGCACCACGCGTCAGACCCTGTTCTGACTCTCCACCTCCAGCACAATCCCTGTAAAAAGAGTACCTGTGAAGTGAGGGGAGGCCTCCTCCCACCTGTGGGCCCCCAACATACCTGGAGGAGGTGAAAGGGGCTGGGCCAGTGTTTGGGGCCCTGTGTCTACACCCAGCTCTGCCACTCTGTGACTTCAAATCAGCTCTCTTCCCCTTTCTGGGCCTTTCCTTCCTCGGCTGGAAAACAATCAGCTTGTCCTCAGTAATGGCCAAGCCCCTCCTTCCCCCACACCTACACACTAAGTCTTTTAGAATCTGTATGTGCCCAGGGCAGCTCCCCACCCTCCCCCACCAAGCCCTTCATTCCTTCCTATGGGGCCTGTCTGCTGAAAGCAGAATCCAGACAGAGAGTGTAGGCCTAGCCCCTAAAAACATGAATGAATGAAGGGATGCCCTCCCTGCATGGGAAGTAGAAATCCCTCACTGTCGGCTGCAGGGCTGGTCAATAATTCAGGGCTGCTGTCAGGTCCGATCTCTGCAGTGGCTTCATCAATATTTCAGCTCCTTCTCCAGAGCCTCGTTCCTTAGCAACCACATCATCTCTGCTCTACAGGAGGGCTGCCAGGCTGTGTGCTCCCTACATCCCCTGTCCTGCAGGAGCTGTCCGTGCTTGCCCTCACGGGCAGGGGGTGGAGCCACCCGTGCCAACTGGCACTGGCAGCTTTGTCCTCAGAGCCTCAGGGCGATGCTGCATACAGGAGGCACATACATCCCAGATGAGAGAGAGGGACAGGGACGGTGTGGCACAGCAAAGCCCCCGCAGGTCCACGCTGGGCAGGAGCGGGGAGGGGCCCGCGGGAGCGTTTTGGAGAGAGGTCAGGGTACGTCTCCGTGGCCCGTCTTAAGCCCGAACCTCACCCCCTAGTCTTAGCAGAGCCAGGGCCTGCCCTCGCCTCTCTGCTCTCCATAGGTATGGGGGAGGGGAGTGTTCCTCTCGCTCCCGCTCTCGCCCAGGCTCAGCTGCTGCTCCCGTTGTGGCCCAGGTGCGGTGGAGGTTTGCCTCCTGCATCAGCTGAGGCGCCGTGCCGCCGGCTTCCTGCGCAGTGACAAGATGGCAGCCCTGTTCACCAAGGTGGGGAAGGCGTGCCCGGTGGCTGCGGAGGTGTGCCACAAGGTGCAGGAGCTGCAGCAGCAAGTAGAGGGCAGGTAAGCCCTGAGCCAGCCCCTCCCGTGCCTCCCTTCTGCTCTTTCCATTTGCTGTTTCTTGCAGGGCCTCACCTCTCGGATGACGGGCCAGCCTAAGGGTGGGGGTGGGGGGTGGCCCTTTCAGGCACAAGGTCCTGTCCACCACCTCCAACCCCCCATCCCAATCAGTCCTCTGGGTTCTTGTCTTGCAGCTCCAAACTCCGCTCCCAGTGCCACCAGTCTGCGATGAGGCTTACCCCCAAGCCCTCCCACTCCTGAAGCCCACCCCCTCTTTGCAGGAAACCCTTGGCGGGCAACCGGGAGACCCAGCAGAGACAGGGCTCTGCCAGTGGGAAGGCCCCAGCCCTCAGCCTGCAGGCCTTGAAACACATATGGGTACGCACAGCGCTCATCGAGAAAGTGCTGGACAGGGTCGTGCAGTACCTGGTGGAGAACTGCAGGTGACTGCCCCTCCCTGAGCCCACCCCTCCCTGTGCTGGACTGCCCACCACAGTCCATGGGCATGTGCCATCCCCCCGTAGCATCTCGAAAGCAGAGACCACACCAGGCACCCCCAAAGCTCAGTCCTTGTGGACTCGTTTCTTCTTGGTAACTGACATGAATTTGATCCTTGTGGGAATGTATCTCCTTGGTGAGCTTGACGGCCATGGAATGAGTTCCGGAGCCCCAGTGGTCGCCCTGTCTGTCTCTCCCCTGGCAGCAAGTACTACGAGAAGGAGGCGTTACTGGCAGACCCTGTGTTTGGCCCCATCTTGGCCTCTCTTCTAGGTAAGCCTAGTAGCAGACAGGCCTGCGCTGGGCCAGTGGGGGCTCCAGGGCAAGTGCTGAGGGGCACCCCTGAGCTGGCTGTCCCTGTCTCCACAGTGGGACCCTGTGCCTTGGAGTACACCAAGCTCAAGACAGCCGATCACTACTGGACCGACCCCTCGGCTGATGAGCTGGTCCAGAGGCACCGTATCCGGGGTCCCCCAAATCGCCAGGACTCCCCTGCGAAGCGCCCAGCCCTAGGAGTAGGTGTCACTCTTCCCACCCTGTGCTCACCCAGGATATGCCCCTGGGCCTTTGGGGAGGAGCAGCTGGGCTGTGTGCTCCTGGCAGATATAGGCTGGGCCTCGGAGATGCCCAGGGTAGCGGCCACCCCAGGAGAGCCTTTTCCCCACACTGGCGCTCACATAAATGCCAGGAGCACAGAGCTGGTCCATGGCTGAGAGCAAACTGGGGACAGGAAGGACCCTTGGGGTCAGCTAGAGAGGGTCTGCAGGGAGGCCTGGGGCTGACCCCCATGGCTGACTTCCTGGGGCTGAGAGCAGAGCCGTGACTTTGTGCGCAGATCCGGAAGCGGCACTCAAGTGGCAGCGCGTCGGAGGACAGGCTAGCTGCCTGCGCCCGTGAGTACGTGGAATCCCTGCACCAGAACTCGAGGACACGGCTGCTCTACGGCAAAAACAACGTGCTGGTACAGCCGGTAGGAGAGCCTGACGCCCGGCCCTCCTCTCCCTTTTCCAAAGGCACCAAGACCTCCAGCCACATTCGTGCCTTTTCCCAGGGGCTTGACTAGAGAGAAGGGGGAGAAGGGCCCCACCCCCTACTTCACTGTTTCATAGCCTCACGCCCAGCCTTGAGCTCGCAGGAGCCAGGAATGGCATCTGCTCTGGCCAGCTGAGAACCAGGCCGTCTGGGAGTAGGAATGTCAGCCAGCAGGCAGGGTGAACGCCCAGCTTGGGTATGGCTGGCCTGGACACGCCTGGCATCCAGGAGGCTGACAGGACAGAGCCAGTGGCCCCAGGCCAGCCAGGGGAAGGAGGCACCCACATCTGCGTGTGGCACGTGATGCCCCCTACTTCCTCCTGGCCCCCAGTCCAGGATCCTGTGACTGGCCTGGCCTGGCCTCCCTGCACGCACCTGGAGCTCCTTTTCCGTAGGCCATCCCCAGGAGCCTCTCAGGCCCTCATCTTCTCTGTCTTCTGGTGTGTCTGCTCCCTGCAGAAGGGGGACGTGGAGGCTGTCCCTGGCTACCTCTCCCTGCACCAGTCCGCAGGCAGCCTGACTCTGAAGTGGACCCCCAACCAGCTCATGAACGGGACTCTGGGGGATTCCGAGCTGGAAAAGAGGTGGGGGCTGTGGGACTTCCTCCAAGGAGCCTCGCTCCCGGGCGGGGGATGGCGAGACCCAGCCTGCTCCAGGGGGCAGGCCTCACTCCTTATCCGATGCCAAGAATTGCAGGGGGAGGCATCCTGGACAGGTTCCCGAGCTCTCTAGGACTGAGCCGGGCCTGGGCACGGAGAGGTTTGCCTGAGCCAAGCTCTGGGCAGCTGAGACTGCCAGGCTCTGTGCCATGAGGACAGCGTGGGGCCCAGAGGGACAAGGTGGCTGGCCGAGGTCACATTCTCGGCTACGGTCAGGGTACTAATAGTAGTACCCTGAATACTACCATTCCGGGTAGTCTCACGGGTGTCGGGGCCGGGAGATGAGGAAGGTGGGATGGCAGGTCTTGGGACACAGCAACACCAAACTGGTTCCTTTCCAGTGTTTACTGGGACTACGCCCTTGTTGTGCCCTTCAGTCAGATTGTCTGCATCCACTGCCACCAGCAAAGTGAGCCTCCCCTGTCCTGGGCACAGGGGTGAGGGGAGAGAGCCTGCGCCGTGCACGGACTTCCTGTCCCCCTCCTTCCGTCCCCATGCTCCCACCCCACTGTCCTCCTACCCAGCCTCACTGGCCCACATTCACCCCCCAGAGAACGGCGGCACCCTCGTGCTGGTGAGCCAGGATGGCATCCAGAGGCCACCACTGCACTTCCCGCAGGGGGGCCACCTGCTGTCCTTCCTGTCCTGCCTGGAGAACGGGCTTCTGCCTCGAGGACAGCTGGAGCCCCCACTCTGGACCCAGCAGGGGAAGGTACCTCGGGGCTTGGGAGGCTCTGGGTGAGGGGGTGTGTGGGGTGGGTTCTCCGCCCACCTGCTGGCCTCCCGTCCTTTCCCCACACGGAGCTCTTAGGAGCAGCCTAGCGGGGTGGGGGGGGCGGGGGGGCGTGGATTGGACCCCGCCCTGGGCAGGCTGACCACCCACCCCTCTCCCCGCAGGGGAAGGTGTTCCCCAGGCTACGGAAGCGCAGCAGCATGCGGTCCGTGGACGTGGAGGACGTGGGCTCAGGGCGGGCCACCGACTACGTGTTCCGGATCATCTACCCTGGCCACAGGCACGAGCACAGTAAGTGTCCCAAACGTCACTCGTGGAGGAAGAGAGAGGTGGGGGCGTAGTGTCACCCAGGGGGCCGCAGGCAGGGTCCACTGCCCAGGCCTGGTTAACCCAGGCAGGTCTTTACTCAGCCTCTCACCGGACCGTCCCCCCCGCACATCATCCCTCGGAGAAGTGGCCTCTTGTCTACCTAGCTGTCTTCTCCCCACCTCGTGACCCCGGGCTCTCGGCTCAGCCGATCCAGGTGTCGCTGTACAATATTCTCTTGGTCATCCTTTCATGCCCTGCCCCAGGGAAAACATGTGGTGAGGCTACACATAGAAGGTGGAGAACTCTTGGTTTCTTTTCAGCCTGCCGCCTGACCCCCACAAGGTGGCCTGGGTGCAGGGTCAGCGCGTCTTTATAGATGGTGCAAATTGTTCACTGACTCTGCTAGAGCCAGAACCCTCCCCCAACCAGCTACTGATGAGGGGAGCATTAGGAGTAGGGGGGCGTCTGGGGTGAGATTTGGAGCTGCAGTGGGAATCTGTGGGGCCAGGAGTTGAAAGGTGACTTGACCCTCATGGGTCCTGCCCCACGTGGACATAACCCCTCTGGGCCCCAGGGGGCTTGTCCATAGGCATCTACCAAGACACGAGCTCCCTTTCTGGTCAGAGCACTGCTGTTGCCCATAGGTTTCTCCAGGCCAGAATGGCTGATCTCGGGGATAAGGTCATGGAATTCGCCAGCCCAGAGCACTTATTGCCAGCCAGACCACCTGCTCCCAAAATGTGCTAACTCGTGCCAATAAGCTGTCGACAAGTTGTCTCCGTATTAGTGGACAGATTGCCCAGACTTCAAACACACAGCCACGGCGCGAGTTCTCTGTTACCAGGCTCGGAGGGCAGGAGACCTGGTGCCCCCTTCCCTCCCAGGAGTGCCTGATGAAGAGGAGGCTCAGCTTTGGCCAGAACGTGTCTGCAGACCTGGCCTTTAACCTCAGGCTCTTGCTTGCCTCAGATTTTGTAGCTTCCACTTGCCCTCTTCAAGCCTTGGTACTTCCCAGTTCCAGTCACTTCAAGGAGCTGAAGCCCAGCGGGGTGACCCAGGCTCCTGGAGAGCAGCTCTGGGAAGCCCTTAGAAGGTCGGGTTTATAGTCTGAAGCGGGGGATTTGGGGTAACCCTCAGATGTGGTTCAGCTTGACCATGACACGAGCCGAAGAGTGACTGAG